TAGTTACTTGTATTTCAATTATTTCAGGAAATTAAACAATAAACATGTATTCAACAGTATAACTTAATACAATACTTCAACAAGGCCTGAAATGACCAATTTTCAATAAAGAAAGAGAGCTTTTTTACTTCACTATAACATTTAATGAGAATTGGTGCCCCTTTTTTGTATGAACAGCTCTCCGGACTTGATTTCGTGTATGTTGCATGATTAACAGAAGAGAAGCCAAGTTCCTTGTGAACAACAAATATTTGTATAACACTTGTGATATTTTTCTGTTATAATATAAACATAAAATTTCCAATTTTCATAAATGTTCCCTTTAAAGAAATATTATACATTTAATGATATCTTAAAAACCTATCTTCAGCCGATGGAGGGTGTGACCCAGTGGACCGGGGAGGGAGGGGGGTACTCCTTTATTTATCCTAGGCACCCGAGCGTACTTGAAGTCCGTGTTTTGTCCTATTCAAGATTTGTATTGTTTGACAGGATTTTTGTGAGATCGATCACTGGTCGTTAACGTCACCTTTTTAAATTTTTAAATACTTATTTACCATACCTATACTTGATTCCAAAACTTAAAAAAAAAATACATTGCAAAAGTCTAGCTCTAACAAGCCCCTATCTCTGTTCCTCGCAAAAATATTAACTGCTGCGAAGGAGAAACACCAGACGTACTGGGCTACAATATAATGTATCCTAGAAATGGTGTAAATACGGATTCTCAAATCCTCCACAGAATCTTATAAAATTTAGAATCATTTTCCAACATCAAGACCATTGATTCCTCGACACTTTATATGTAACCATTGCTTACGATAAAGACGTTTTAAGGGCTTTTTTTATATCATTTTATATTTCTGTACTTATTGAAGTTATTCAAAAACTTCTACATGATACGAAAACTTTTGCTGTGGCCTTCAATTCAACATTTTAACTTTTGAACGGCTCTTTTATCAATTAATATATTGTTACTTTTATTTATATATATCCAAGTAATCTCAAAATAAAAGACACAGAGTCAGCCATTTGTTTCATATTTGGATGCTGTACTGACTATAAACAATAATGTCAAATTACTAATCGATATGACAAATGTGATGACTTAAGTTTTTCCACCGTCAGCTTCCCCCATTTATGCAGTAATATTCCAAAATTACCTACGTTATTTATGTCTCCCGAATAATTCGGTACTTAAGAACATGTTCTGAATACGAACATTTTTGAATCGAGCCGAGGCAATGTACTGACAAATGATTTGATATTACAGGGCTTTGAACAATCTCATTTAGACCTTGTTTGCAAATACAACATATGTTGATTAGTATTTTGACTACAGTTTCATCCGAATTCATATTTTTTTTTCTTATCCTATAATTATTGCTATTTTTTTGGTCAATAGGATGATTTAGCTACCTGTGGAGTACAATATGCACCTCGCTCTTCACTCACTCAGTAAATATTGTACTTTGAGAGTTGCTCAATCATCATCTTGCCCCCCCCCCCTTTAAAAAAAACAGCAATAATTGTTTTATTGTATGATTAAATGATTCAAATCTTTGAAGCAAACATGTTTGTAATACCTTTAAAAATAAGTTCTTATATAAATCTTTAATAAGAAAAAGTCTGAGCAGTTATAAAACAAATCGATTTGTTTGGCAGAGCGAGATATTGGACCTGTTGATAACATATTGGACCTCTTACGCCACACTGTGGATGGGATCGACTAATTCTTATTTGCATTCATTGGTGTTGGTGCTGGGCAGTGACAGAATTGAACTAAATTGAAACTTAACTGTTGAAGTCCTACCCAAGCGCAGTGGTCACAAAAATAAGCATGACCAGTTGTTCAATTTGGAAGTTCCTCATTTATTTTTGGTCCACTGTAGAAAAAAAAATGTTAATACATGTATTTCAGTTACCTGGGAGTGAGAGGTCTGGAGCAGGTGAACTTGATATCAATTTGAAATTTACCAATCTATTTTTGGTCCAATGTAGAAAAGATTAATGCTTATGTTCACCGGGTAGGTCTTGTGCCAGTGAACATTATACATTTATTGACTGGATTCGAGGGCAACATGCATTTTGTCGGACCCAAGAGCCAAACTGTTGGCCTGAGGCCGTTAAGCCGAAGGCAAACAGTTTGGTTTGAGGGGTCGACAAAACACATTTTGCCCAAAGAATCCAATCAATAAATGTTTTGTTATACCTTTTATTTATTTATTTATTTTTTTGTTACACATGTATCTTTTGCTGGCTTCCATAATAACGATTGCAAATAAGATTTAGCTTATCTCACCTACAGTGTAACGTAAGCGATCCAATATATCTCGTCAGGTCCAACATCAAACATCAATTTTTTAATGACCGCTCAGTAAAACATTAGAAATGTTAGACTTTTTTTAGTATACATGTAGATTTATATAGGAACTAATTTTTAAAGGTATAACAAAACTTAGTATGATTTCTAGAATGTTGGATCTCAGCCAATCAAAGAGCTAGGAATTAATCATTATATCATAACATTGGGTTTTTTTTCTTTTTTTTTATGATTTATTGTATTTTTCATTATTTTACAAAAACATGAGAGAGAGAGAGAGAGAACTGATTCAATTAAATAAATTCTTCCATGACTCCCAGGCCTCATCAAATTTTTCTTGTTCATTATTTTTCTTTGCTATTACTTTATTAGTGTCATATAGTACTTTAATGGAGGACATCAACCCATTCAAAGAAAGAGTGTTATTGACACATTTCATACTAAAGATAAAATACTTTATTTGTAGAGCAATAAGAGTTTTCACTTTTTCTGATTTCACATGTGATCCCAATATAAAGTCTTTCTTTGAATATGTAATATATCTATGAAGTCTACTAAAACAAAGAGTAGAAAAGGCTTCTAATAAGCCCTGCACTACTTTACATCCCCAAAAAATATGTTCAATAGTTTCAATTTCATTGGTACAGAAAGTACAGATATTAGTATCACTTTTTTTTATTTTATGTAGAAAAGAATTTGTACATAGGATTTTATGATTTATTCGAAACTGAAACCATTGAAGTTTTGTATTTTGAGTGAGCTTAAAAGGGAGAGAAAAAATATTTTCCCATTCAGCATCACTCAGCTCAAAGATACGGTTCCAACCAATTTTCCCTAAAGGTTCTTCTTGATTACCTTTTAAAATTTCATACAATTTTCTGGATTTTTTTGCATTTAATAAAGAAAACAGCTGATGGGATATATATGGGTAACTAAATTTTAATAAGGGGTTTTTTGTTTTTTTTATCCATTCTCTGATAACTGCCAAGATCCCATTATATTCAAGAAAGTGAACTTTCATACCGTATGTTTTATTAAAGGCGATCAAGTTCATAAAGGAACCGTCTTCAGTCAATAAATCATTAACACAAAAAATATTATTTTCATACCATTTTCTATAGAAAATAGGTTTTTTATCAATTAGGAAATTAGTGTTGTAAAAAAGTGGTTCCATAGCTGCATTAAATTTTGAATCTGAGTTTTTTTCTGAAAAATATGCCCATGATTCCAACACATCTTTCCAAAACAAATTATTAATAGATTTCAGTTTTCCTTTTACATATTCTGTACCACATAAAATTATTTTTTTAATCTCTAAATTTAAAAGTGAATATATATTGCTCTTTTGCATCACAATTTTCTTCATCCACATAAGTTTTAAAGACATAATAAAATCCTTAATGCTAACCATTTTTATGCCACCATCTTTGTAATTTTTTATGTATATTATTTTTTTAACTCTGTAATTACTTTTTCCTGTAACAAAAGAAAAAAAGTATTTTCCAATTCTTTTAACTGAGCTTTGGAAGGATTTGGAAGTGAAGCAAAAATGTGGTTTAACTGTGGTAGAAGAAGGGTTTTAACACTGTTAGACGACCTAGTGGGGTAAGATTTCTGCGATTCCAGTTTTTCATTGTTTTTTTTAATATTTTCAAACTTTTGTTTAAAATTTAAATCAAAACTTTTCTGTAAATCAACATGAAAATCAATACCAAGTAATCTAAAAGTGCTTTTTCCCCATTCTAAATCTTCCCCTACATTCAAAATATGGTTACTATGTTTCTTACTTCCTATCCATATAACTTGTGTTTTACTATAATTGATGTGAAGCCCTGATATTTTTGCAAAGTACTTCAAAGTTTTTAAACTTACTTGTAGAGACTGTTCACTGACATTCAATATAAGGGACGTATCATCTGCTAACATAGTTATCTTATATTCTTTTTCTAGAACCTCAATTCCTTTTATATTTTTATTATTTCTTATCAAAATTGCTAATATCTCAGCACATATCAAAAATAAATAAGGGGATAGTGGATCACCCTGGCGACACCCACGGTGTAAGAAGATCGAAGGTTTCAGAAATGTGTCCACCTTGATTGACTGCTGATAATATTTGTGTAAAATAATTTAACACTTCTGAATAGAATTACCAAGTTTAAAAAATTGGAGTGACTTTTGAATGAATGACCAGGATATTGAATCGAAAGCTTTCTCAAAGTCAATTAGAAGAAGTAGCCCTGGAATATTTTCTTCTTCTGTATATTGCATAATATCATAAATGGTTTGAATGTTTTCTGATATATTTCTACCTTTTATAAAACCTGTTTGATCAGAATGAATTATTTTGTCTAAATATTTTTTAATCCTATTTGCAATTATGCCAGATGCGATTTTATATACTGTATTCAGTAAAGAAATTGGTCTCCAGTTTTTCAGAAACTGTTTGGTTTGTCTCCCTTTGGCAGACATGTAATGATACCATGTCATTGTGTTATACTTAGATTGTTAACTGAATAAACATAAATAATTGACCTAATTACTCATAACATTGTTTTTAACAAGATATGATTAAATTTAGAATATGCAATCTATTTAAAATAAATTACTAAAATAATAATGGTAAGTTAATGGTGAATTTTCTAAATTACAATTAAAATCACAAATCACTGTCGAAATTGTTATGAGATTATTACTAAAATTGAAGAAATTAAACAAAATACAATGCATTTACATATATCTTTTTCCTTCTAAAACAACTAATCCAATTCAATCAAATCTTGATTCCTAATATGCAGGTTACAAAAATCATGATTTTTACAGTCACCAACAACAGACTGGGAAAAAAACTCAACCAATTAATGGAAATAAAGACTGAGAATTCCTAAATAAAAGTGTACACACAAGTTCAGATTCTAGTATCAGCTCTCACAGACTTAGTACTTATACATCTGTAGATTTTATAGCAGCCCTAAGTTTGGCTGATCGACTCCTGGGATTCTTCAGAATCTCTTCCTCCTCAGGGGTCATGACCTTCTTACTGACCGGAATCCATCTTCTCTTTAGGATGATCTGTATCAGTTCCTTGTCGTACTTCTGGTGGTGGTCTCTCATCATCCGTGATTTCTGCTTCACTGACAAGTTTTTAGCCTCATCCATCTCAATGCCGTGGAAATGCCTCTTGAAGATGCGATCTTCTAGAGAGTGAAATGAAATTCCAACACAAACACCTCCTGGTTTTAGATAGTGATATGCTATTTCTAATCCATTGTTGATTTCATTTAATTCATTATTAACAAAAATCCTTAAAGCTTGAAATGTCCGAGTGGCAACATGGCTCTTCCGATTTAATTTGTCCCTCATGATTTTCCTATGAATTACAATACTCATTTTAAAACATTTTAAAGGAGAACTATTATAATAGAAAAAATCACAGAAAATGTAATGATAAACTAAATATATATTAACAAAAGTATTAAATTGATTTAATTGATTAAGAACATGTGTTTCTCAACATTTGTTGCATTTCTCAATAAATTTAATTTGATCACTAAATTAAGATGTTCAGTTTACTGGGTACTTCTGCTAATGCTTGGAGGCTTGTTAAATAAAATAGACCAATTCAAATAATAAATGTAAACTTACATAAATTTACAAGGTACATGTAAATCAAATCACAAACATGTATATGTAAGACATCACTATCAGGCATTTATTCTTCCTATAAAATTATTACTTTTGTAGCTTAGATCACCATTTTGACTAAATAAATTCTTACTCTTCAAAAACATTTTCAATGATTTCTGCCAGCTGTTTGGTGGTAGTTATTTTTCCCATGACATAGCGGGCCTCTACAATGGCATAGGCGATTTGATTAGCCATGTAGTCCTCTCCGTATTTCTTTATAATGTCTCTCAGTTCCTGCACAGAGAGGTGATTGACCACATCCATTGCAGTTATACCATCTGGATCTCTGTATATATAAACATTTAACAATCTGACACACAGTCATCAGCTATTTATTTTAAAACTGTTAAATCTATTCAAGCACCTTTTACATGTATTTCACATGGACTTATAGAATGCATTATCATTTTGCTTACCTTCCTTGATCCATCCTCATATCCAGTGGGCTATCTCTGCTGAGGGAAAACCCTCGACTACTTTGGTCGTACTGCATGGAGGAAGCCCCCACATCAAAGAGAATCCCATCCACTGATCCAGGGGTTATTCCGAGTTGGTAAAGTATTTGTGGTACCTCAGAGAACTTTCCCAAAGAAGGTAGCACCTGACCTGGCCTGTCAAGATACACAATTGACATTTCTGTTTTCAGCAAAGTTTGGACTGTTAACTGTACATTATGTGAGGACATTAAATACATAATCAGGACATGTACATTTTGTTTGAAAATAATTTTTTTTTTGGGGGGGGGGGGGGCTTTTCCTCTGCAAAATAACTTACTTGTCATCAAAATACATCTTTTTTAAATGTAAATAAATCATATTAGGGTATATTTATGGAATGATTACAATCTAGGAGATATTATATTGCCTGCTTAATATATGCTGTGCTATCTGTATAATCATGATTGAAAATTTCTCTCTTATTTTTATCTATTAAATATTGTGTTGCAGGGAGGTACATAATTTTTTTTTAACAATGACATCCTCTTATTTTAAGCATAGATGGGCTACTCTTTACATGTGATTTCCTTGGTAAAATTGTTGCTATCAATTTTACGTTCATCAACAAGGATAGATTAAATTTAGGAGTGAAACGGTTCACCGCGGTATCAATTCACCGCAGTATTTTTTCTCAGTTTGATACACGGTGCAAAATCTCTGATTTTCGGTTCGGTTCATTTTTCGGTCGGGATCGTTATTCAGTCGGGTTTTTCATAGGGTAAAACACGTTACTCAGTATAAATAAGTATAGAAAACGTAAATTTTTGATGACTGATAGCTTGTAAAATAATTTTTGACAGTCAAATAATTTTAATCAATTTCTTCTAGTCAATTTGCAAATAAAATTCGTAAAATATGTGACTAGAATTAGAAAAAGAAAGCATAAAAAACGTTGAATTAGTTTCCTTCTATCAAAATGTATCGTATCGAAAATAACCGAACTGAGACAAAATTATACAATACGTATCGAACCGTGAAGGAGGTGTATCATTTCACCCCTAATTAAATTCAGAATTACTTGTAAGATTTGGCCAGTTCCTGAGCATAGCTGAAGGCCACGGGGTCTCTGTCCACACATACCACTCGGGCTTCAGGGTTCTCTGTCAAAATAGCCTTTGTATGTCCCCCAGCTCCAAAGGTCATGTCGATAAATAACTTTAAAAAAATTCTCAAGAACATAAGTACAAAATGATCTAGAAAACTGACACATTCAGAAAGGCCTCTTCTGTCAAGACTGTCAAAGGTCTGAAAGAAAAGTGAAAACTGTAATTTTACATTGGATTGGTTACAACAAAACATAGCACATAAGGTGACATAATACAATCAATCAAATAAATGTTGGAATTATTATTTATATTTAAAGATTTGTGGAAAAACATACAAACTACATACACAAAGAGACAAAGCTATATGATTACAAAATAAATAAGTGTCCTTCTAATAATTCCTTCTGAATAAAACTTGAAAATGTTACAATGGAAACTGTTTGAGTTGTTTCACAATAGATATACAAAAATATAACATGCAGAAAGGCAGACAAAGCTATACGACCCCAAAATTTATTGGTGTCTTTCACTTAAGGTAAAGTATTAATGGACAAAATTTAAAAATGTTTCAGTGAAAACCGTTTCAGTTTAAGAATCAATGATGGAAAGATGGACCACAAAATTAAAACAAAAGTAATCAGAGATTACAGAACTCACCTCAACAAATGTTGTCTTTAAGTAAGGCAAAATCCCACACTAAACTAATAATCTAGTAGTGTGCATCCCTAGATGCAACATTTATGCAATTTTGGTCTAATAGGGCTTGAAGTTACTTGGGAATGGACTTATCTAAAAACTTAAATCTAGTCACTCATTCAGAAAACAAAGTCAGATCCAGCATCTGAAGCAAGTACAGTAGTGTTCATCCCTTGATGCATCATCCATGCAAGTTTGGATCAGATAGGCCTTATAGTTTCTTAGTAATGGACCTGCTCCAAAAACTTAAACCTGGTCACTCATTTGGAAAATGCAGGTCATATTCAGCCATCTGAAGCAACTCTGGTAGTGTGCATCCCTTGATGCATCATCCATGCAAGTTTAGTTCTGGTAGGTCTTGTAGTTTCTTGGTCATGGATATGCTCCAAAAACTTCAACCTGTTCACTCATCTGGAAAATGTAGGTCTTATTCCGCATCCAAAGCAACCCTGGTATTGTGCATCAATAAATGTATCTTCAGTGCAAACTTGGTTAGCAGAGAGCTTATAGTCAGTTTAGAAATAAACTGCTTCAAAAACTTTAATATGGTCATTCATCCAGAAAATGTAGGTCAGATCCAGCATCCAATGCGAAGTCCAGTAGTGTGCATCCATCCAAGGTTGGTCAACATAGGGCTTATAGTCACTTAAGAATGAACCTGCTCCAAAAACTTTAACCTGGTCACTCATCCAGAAAATGTAAGTCAGATCCAGCATCTGAAGCAAGTACAGTAGTGTTCAGCCCTTGATGCATCATCCATGCAAGTTTGGTTCAGATAGGCCTTACAGTTTCTTAGTAAAAGACCTGCTCAAAAAACTTAAACCTGGTCACTCATTTGGAAAATGTAGGTCAGATCCAGCATCCAAAGCAAGCCTGGTAGTGAGTATCCTTAGATGTATAATCCAGGCAAGTTTGATCAATATAGGGCTTATAGTTACTTGGGAATGAGACTAGCTCCAAAAACTTTAACCTGCTCCAAAAACATTAACCTGGTCATTCTTTAGCTGAAATTGCAGCATCTGAAACCTTGACTGGTACAATGAAACATACTAGAAACATCTTCCATGCATTTCTGATTAATATAGGGCATAGAAGTACTTAAAAGAAATCTGCTCCAAAAAACTTTAACCTGGGACGCCGACACCGAGGGTATTACATAAGCTCCCCCAACTTCTTTGAGATAAGCTAAAAAGGTGTCTTTTCTTTTGTGGTAAACTCTGTATAAAATTTGAAATATTTATTAAGAAAACTATCTGAGTCATTGTGTATTAACAATAACATTGGCACATTCATACAGACAGAGAGACAAAGTAATATGAGCTCTAAATTTAAAGGTGGGTGTAATCCTCTTACATGAGGTACTTCTGAAAAAAATTTGAAAAACATCATGTTGAAAACTATTTGAGTTATCTTGTCCCAACAAAGTATCAAACTGCTATTTACATGTATTTGCAACTGGGCATACATACATACAGATAGACAAAGTGACTTGACTCCAAATCCTATAGGTGTTTCAATCTTAAAGTAATGTACAAATTTTTAAAACATTACTTTAGAAATTGTTTGAGTTACCAAAACAAGAGTGTTGAAGGACAGATAAGCAGACGGCAGGGCAATGTGATTCCTATAGGGCTCTCATATTTCAAACAAGGCCCTAATAAGCAAAAAATATTTCAAAACAGCATTTCCAAAAATCTTTTTTCTTCATTTAAGGCAATAATTAAAGTCTAATCTGACAGTTTTGTAAAATAATATTCAAATTGAATGCAATATAAAGCTGAAATTCCTTCAATACACAGTAACTACTGAAATAATCTAAAATAAAGTATGAGGAAAGTGTAAATTTGGTTACCTCTCCTTGTCCAGGATTCAGAACTTCAATAACCTTCTTAACCATCACTGGTATATGTTTAGCCTCCTCTGATGAGTCTTCAACAGATTTAGGACTTCGACTGTCACATAAATCTTCAACACTATTGTCTGATATATTTTGAACATCAGAATCTGAGCAGATTCCATTGTGGCTGATAATCTGGAGATTCAGTTTTCCACTGAGAATTTTTGTATGACAACATATTTTGGACTTTGACTGATAATGTTTCTGGATTGTTTGAGCTGTAAATTTTAGATGTAGAAATAAACTCTTGTTTCAGCACTATTATTATTACAAGTGTAATGCAGAAACCAGAAATCTCTGACGAGACTGTTGCTCTACTGGTTTGAAAGTATATTTTATAAAAATTTCTATTTTTAGTAACCATGACAAAATCATTCATCAAAATAAAAAAAACGATAAAGACAATAACACAGTGTTTTTTTTCAGTACTTTGGGACTGGGGGTTGGGGCCCTAGGAATTGGGAATTTCAGCGTCAATTAGGCTAAATTGGGAATCTCCCAGAAAACCCAGTCACTTAAAAAGTATGTCAAAAAGCTTTGTTTTTGTTTTTGTATTACTTTAACAAACAATTGTTATAACAAATCAAGACTATTCTTGGTATTAATTATCTAATTACTTGCATCAAGAACAATAGTGGTATGAATTATCTAATTATGAAGAAATCCAACATGGCTGAACAACAAAACCTGCTTGAACTTCACTGAAAAACATGCAATAAACAAACTGAATTTGATCAAATATTTTGTAAGTTTTCCTTTGGGAAAACTTCCACTACATTTTGGGAAAGTACAGGCATATTTTCAATTGGGACTGGGGCCGAATTTCGGCCCCAAATCGGCCCTAAAAAATCACTGTAACGTATCTCAGTGTAGTCTACTTGTGTGCCAAGTTTTATTGAAATCAGACCAAAACTGTTGGAGGATTAGCATTTTGAATGTATTTCACAGAAATTTCTATTTTTGGTAACCTTGGCAACACCATTCGCCATTCATTAAAATCAAAAACTGATAAAAATAATAATTTTTCTTAGAATACTCAACTTGCGTCCCAAGTTATATTGAAATGAGATGAAAACTGTAGGAGGGGTAGCATTTTGAAAAATTGTTTACAGACAGACAGATTGACAGCTAAACGGACAGACGAAGGACACCTTACTATAGCATAATCTTTTCTGGTCTCTGACCAATAGAGCTCAAAAATAAGGAACCTCAAAAACCCAATTGATTGAAAATAATTTGGTTATCCAGGATCAAAAATCAACTGAAACCCTCACAATACTGAATAGATACAGTTCATAATTTTACCCTCGGAAAATTAACTACGCTACTACAAATTAACTGATACATGTATGTATTTAAAAGGCATTGTACATGTAGTAGGTCCTAATTATACCACTAGCATATGATCCCGTCACTACATGTCGGAGTTAAATGGTAATAGTTACTTGTGGTAAATGAACAAGATCTTGCCTGTACAATATACTTGGGAGGAAAGTGAAACTTAAAATTTCATACTCCTTCTTACCTGAGAACAGGTGTCTCCTAATTGTAAATAGACAAGAATAGGAGAACCCTTTCTTCATGCACCAAGTTTTTAATGCCATGTCAATTACATTACAAATCTGAAATAGAGGTTTTGATTTACAGGCAAAAATTAATTCACATAAAAATAAATTTCAATGGTTATGCACATGCAAGAACATATTTTTGTGAAAAATGTGATGATGAATTATGAAACATCTTGTATTAATTTGATTTGATCATTATACTACACATGTATACATGCTGTACTAATAAGCTCTGTCCCTGGTACATACACTTAGTCACTACAACCACTACAGTGACTACACTGAGTTCAGCCGTCGGATATCAACAAAGCCACATGGTAAACTGGTCCAAGGCTTAAAATGAGAACCAGACAAAATGACTAACAACGCCTCCTTGCGGGTAATAAGTGCAGCGGAAGTAGCAAATGCAGTCGTACAAGAAAGATTGACAAAAAATATGTGACAGAGAAAGTACAGTATTTTCAAAGACACTGATTCAAAAGATTTTCAGAATGGGCTGCCGCAGTGAAAGTGGGGTTAGGTGCTTGAGAATTTTCGTCATAACCGATGCTATATTAATATGGGTAAGTGGGGAATCCCGTTGTCTATGAGTATGACATATTTTTGTGTTTTGTCATTATGGCAAACACTGCGTGATTAATAGAAATTTTTTTTAACATTTTTCATTCTGGTACTTTTTTGTGAATTAAAAAAAAAAGTTTTGGCATTTATTTTCATTATCATAAAATCTGCAACATGCGAAATTTTCATTCAAACTAGATCTATTATTGAAAGTTCATAAATTGAACCAAATAAAAAAAGTAATTGTTGTTTAAAAAAAAAAACAGAGAAATAAATCCGGAGTTTTTAATGATTTTAAGTGTTTGAGTAAGGAAGCACACAGAATTTTATGTATGTGTGGCTTTTGTCCAAAAAATGCAAACCTGAGAGGAAAGTTTTCTGTTATGAACAGACACAGTGTTCATTGTCTAATGTATATTTTGGCACTGTAAAATGAAGGAATTAAGAATTTGTACATCAACAACATATTGAGATAAATAGAGTATTAGCATTCATGAACTGAAATTGAAAGCTACACAAGTTAACAAAAAAATTAGGAATAGACATACTTTCATATTTCCATGATGGCCTGACTGTATCTCACTCAGAATGAAAATGAGAGAAATATTTACACAATAAGAATACAAAACAGGAAAACAGTTGTATGGCTGTAATGGTCTGGTGTCTTTCAAAAAGAAACTTAAAAAATAGTGGTTTGGGCTGTATATATATCATTATATATGTGTGGCGGTCAGACAGGATCAACCAGTCCCACCAGTGACCAGAGAGCTCAGTTTAACTTAGTAGAGCTCCTGACTAGTGATTCAGAGGGCCCTCATTCAAATCTTTTTCTGGTTTGTTGCATTTTCGTTCCTTGCCAGTTACATTTGGTTCAATGACCATGCCCTGGAAGTGACAGGTGTAAGAACTGCCAGGGTTGATGTCTTCAGGGGTGAAGACCTTAAGGAGGGTGGAATGTGGCAGTCAGGCCAGCTTGATTGCTGGTGGCCAAGATAGCTCAGTTGGTAGAGGACGTGACTATAGTGATTCAGGGGATCTGGGTTTTAAGTTCTAGTTTGGTCCTGCACATTTTCTCGCTCACTGGTTACATATGGTTAGAGTACCTGACTATTATTGCGCAGGGGTCCCAGGTTTGATTCCAGTCCAGCTATAAATTTTCTCCTTTCCTATTACATTAGAGGCTGTGTGCCAAGGATTTGAGAATGTGGTGGTTTGTGTTGTGTGGACAGGGAGTGTCAGCCTGGGTGACTTGATGGCTAGAACACCTTACTAGTGCAGGGATTATCTGGGTTAGATTTTAGGTCCAGTTTTTCTTCTTTCCTGTTACATTTGGTGCCATTGACTTCCCTCAGACTTGCAAGAAAAAGTCCTACCAGGGGCAAAAGAATGTGGGTTGTTAATTGAAGGAGGGGAGAAAGTTGTTGTTTGGGCTATATTGACCATGGATATTGGCCTTGATAGCTCAGTGGTTAGAGCACATGACTAATAATGCAGGGATCCCTGTTTACATAACAGTAGAATATTACATATATAATATTTTATTATATGTAGAAAGTCCTAGTCCTACAAAACAATGACATGGTAATTACTAATTAGCACAGTCCTGTTTGTTTAAGTTTTAACTAATATGAGAAACTTGGCAGCTAGTGCATACATGTAACTTACATGTACGTTATACATATATGAGATATATATAATTATATATATATATATTTAATAAATTTACAGTTTTTAGGTTTAAGGCATCCTGATGATAAATAGAATTAAATTTGTGGAAACTTTGACTGTCATAAAACCCTATAAAACTGAATGAGTTATAAAAATGCATGGTTGCACCTCAAGTGTGGAGGACCTAATGATATACATGATGTATATAAAATAGAAACTGCTCATCTCTAAAATAAAAACTGGCAAAATAATTATCCATTAAGCATTACATGAAATAGAGAAAGTCTCCAGCCAAAACTACATTAACTTTATGAAGTATGCAATTAAGCAACAATTAGGGCTATATAGATGTATTAAGATTGTACTTATGTACATGTATTTATACTTCACTATTGTAATGTATAATCATGATAATGAGACATAACATCTACCGATTAATGTATTCCATTTGCAATACATGTACATTTAGAGTAGCTATAACCACAATCAATGTAATTTGAATTGATTTATTTGATGTAATATTCCAAGAATACAAGGTATTCATATGTACATATCTATTTAAATACATGTATATAAATAGCGAAAGTGCTTCAGTTTTAGTGAATTTGATTGAGCACATTAATTTTAAAATGACAAATTGTCCCAGCTTAGCTAGGTGCATAGAAAAGTAAAGTACTCAAAATGAAGGTGAAAAATCAATTGAAACGTGTGAGATCTGCTCTATTCTGCAAGTTCATGCTTGAGTAAAGATGTACTCCATTAATTCCTGAAACCAGTGATAGTTTTTCAGTCAAGATAATGTTGGTGATTTTTTTTCATTATGGAATATCCAATAACTGTAGGTTTCTGAGAGAACAAAATCAATTTTTGTGTCAGTAGTGTGATGCTCAGTAAATAATCAGAAGACATCTTTGGAAGATTCTTCAGACATTGCTAGGAAATTTTTTTTTTGCAAATCAAGTTTATTTTTTTTTATCCTATATATTATGTTATATAAGTTACATGAAGGAATGTTAATCGTTTTGTTAAAATTGAAATTTTAATTTATTCGATATGTTCATGTTATATTATCAAAGCATATGATGTAATGTGATACATTAACATCTTGTGAAGGTATATGCACCAAGCTGATGCAATCTCTTTTCATGCATTCATTAAGATTTTTTGATATCTAAAAATATTTGTTATTTTGAAAGATAAAAAAACTGAAATCTGGAGAGGAAACATAACATTATCCAGCTGCTTGCTCACCACACAAGCACTAATGTGAGAATGCAGAATGGTGATAAAGTGGATATTGAAGAAAAAACCTAAAGCACTCCCTGCAGGAAGCTGCAGAAGAAACAATTAAAACACACATTGCTTACAAGTACACCTCTTAAGCTTGACAAGTGGGTGCCGTATTGTTTCCATTTGTTCTTGGTACGGATTTCTTTGACTGTTAAGTGTTTTAGGATTTTAGCAAATTGAAGATAGTAAGGAATGGCTTAGTGGACGATCATTCATTAAATTTTTGACAGGAACTATGAAACATATTTCTCATCAAATATAAGATGTAGTGTGGAAAAATTCTCAGTAATTAATTATATATTGCTCTGCATGCAGTTGTCATTTTGAGTCAACTGCACTTGAAGCAGACAAGAATATATAAACCTTCTTCCCATATAATTTCCTTATAATGAAATATTTCATATTTTGTCTATTGTCTCTTTATGTAAGGATACTAGGAGTCTCCCTGAGCCATGATAATTGTCTCTTCATGCCTCTATTGGTAAAAAAACATTCTCCACTAGATTAAGTAAGATCACAGTATTGATTTTATGGAGTCCTTTTTTTTCTGGGAGCATCCTTGCCAGCAAACACATAAAAAAAATCTGTGATTTAACATGTATAGACTATAGTCCATAGACCAAAATGATATCAAATGCAAATAATTTGCAAATTACTTCTGAGAGCAATCTAGATTATATGTATATCATGTACTGTATATCTTTAGATCATGATGATTACAATTTGGGTCTAATTGGAACACTGCTCCATTGCCAACTTATTCACAGTTAACTTGTATTTTGCATCATTAAGCATGCCATGTGTGTAATAGCACCTAGATGCTTTATTTTATATTTGTTTTGTTCAGTGAATAAAATACAGTCAAACCTCATTATCTCAAACTCGATGGGACAAAGAAAATACCCGGTACTTCGAGATATCTGAGGATTCGAGATATCCAGGGTAAAACTAAGCATAAGCGTTAAGGACTTTCAAATCACGTTGACATGTTCATGGTATTTGAGATATCAGTGTTCAAGATATTGAAGTTCAACTGTATTTGATACCATACAGTGTTGAGGTGCAGCTTTGGACATTTGGGAAAAACTGTAGATACTGGATCCTTATCATGATCAAATTTGATAGATTGCTACTAAATTTAGATTTGAACAATGTTATGATTTAATGATTTTTCATCACGAGTACCATATATACTCGCCTATAAGTCGGTCCGCCTATAAGTCGGTTGTATTTTATAAGCTTAAATAGAGGGTTTGACCCGCTAAAATACCAATCATTTTATAACTCACGTATAAGTCGGATAAAGAATTTTGGACTAAAGTTTAGCTCCCAAAAAAACGACTTATAGGCAAGTAAATACGGTAGTCTATTCAGTTATCAAAAAGTTGTATTATTCTGAAATTATTTTAAAGCAATATGAGCTTCAACTTTGATGTCGGAAATTTTTGTTGCAAAATTGCAATTAACTATTTCAATGACAGAAAAAAAGAAAGTTTATAAATTTCTGTTGTTCATATTTGCAATGGAAGAACTATTATAAAGCTTTGATTGAAGCAGAATTACATTATTGTTGTATTGTTGTCCTGTACAATATTGATACTATACATTTGATTGTACAGGAGTCTTTCTTCTGAAACAATTTAATACTTTATTTAAGTCAAATTGATCAAAAAGGTTCATATTACATTAAAAAAAATTATCAAAATAGCACATTTTAGCATCAAAATTAAATTCTCAAAAATGCAGCTCATATTGCTTTAAAATTGGCTGACATTAAAATACAGAAGAATAATTAAATGTAAATTACACATAATTTTTTTTTAAATTTCAAAATAGCCTTATGCACATGCAGTTGAAGAAGATAATATTTGTTAAATGAATAATTTGACAATAGTAGCATTATAATGTCTTTAAACATCTATAAGTAAGGTATCAAGTGTATACACTGTATTATAACATGTTTACTAGAAGGTGGCAGTTTTATGACAGAGCAATAAAGCTATTATGTTATATTCAGTGATTTCATGAAGAGGAAAATCAGGTCTTTGTATTAAATAATCTATTTCCATATGCATAGTTAGAAAAGATATTGATCTTTGTGATTTTATTGCACAATCATGAATGGCACGTCTGTTCAAAGAAACAAGGTTACATTGTTCAGGATTAGGAAAACTTTAAATATATAGTTGAAATTGTAAAATGGGACATCTTGTAGATTCAGATGTTGAGAAAATCGCCCCCAGGGCAGGTATAATACAACACTGGAAATTCAAGGTCTTACATTGTATTTTAAATATGTTGGGGGAGGAGGGACAAAATTTACTTGCCTCTGGCTGCTGTACTATTGCTATTATAAGTGTTGATTCCTGCTAGATATGCTTCTCCAAGGAAATACAGTTACCTGGTGATGTCATATTGTATTTCTTTTATTGATTAAGGTTGCATGTCTATCCCTTTATTAGGTTATTTAATAATCAATCGGCAATTAAGTCAAACAATTCACAAAAAATAATATGCTTTTTAGTCAGTGAAAAAACAGTGACACTAACAGACACTGAAAAACATAGTCAATATATATATTTGTATATAGGGGAAATTAAAAAATTATTACTATTCATTGAAATTTTTTATAGTATGAGGAATAGATTGTTTTCAATAGAAGTGAATTCAGCAAGAGTTTTTTCCCTTGGCTTGGAGGTCAACATGCTTCAATTCTTACATTATAACTTAACCAACTTGTCTTACTGGCCATTGTGGTGCAAAAATTATAAAAGCATTGTTAAAGCCTTTTTTTTATTAAGAATTTTCATTTTATAAACAATTATCCAAATATTTCTGCTACACGCCTTAAATTTTTATGTCATACAAAACTATTAAAAGAAATATTAAAGTGCATTTTTTTTTCTTTTCTTTTTTTGTTTTTTGTTTTGAGATGTGGTCAGATTTAAAATATCTTTTCATGACAGTATACATGTACAACTGAATTAGTTAAAAGTATCTGGTAGCATCTTTGCAATGTGTGTCACAATGCTTTTATAGTTAATATTAAGTCAGTAAACATTTTTTAAAGGATTAACACTTAAAAGAGATCTGGTTTCTTTCAAAATATCAAGTGTTTGTCATTTTCTGATGAACAAATATCATAATACATAGATGGAAGCATGAAAATTGTAAAGTACGTACTATAGAAGGTTTTAACTACATGTATATGATACATATGACAGTCTTAAGTTTATTGAAGTCAAGAGTTATATTGCTGAGGGATTTACATCTGTAAGGCCCAATGAGCCTTGATCCTGTTTTCATATAGATTATTTAACTTTCAAGATATTTTCTACAGTCATTTTATGGTTTTATTTATTTATTTTTTTTAATTTTTTTTGGTGATTTTTAGATCATGTACAAATATTCGATTTTGCTTCTTCATCATTTCTAAATTAAAAACCATATTAATGACCAAATGTTAATTTATTGATTTTGAAGGAAGTCAAATATTGACAACCTTATTTAACGTGTTTAAACCATTTGTATTTCCTTGCAGTTGATTGGTGGAGCAATATTTGGTTTTTCTCTCTGGCTATTGGTTGATTTCTTTGTGAATGAGTACCAGGCTGCATCAGATGACCTTAAACAGTCCAAGTATGTCATCTACGTGTTTGTGGCAGCAGGTGGATTCATGGTCGTGTACAGCCTCATTGGAATCATTGGAGCCATTAAACCAAACTGGAAGTGTCTCCTTATCATTGTAAGTTCTGTTTCAGCAAGACATTTGGTAAAAAGTAAAACTCGGTTATAACGAAGTCACTGGGACCTGTGAAATTACTTCGCTATATCTGTAATTCGTTGTATCCGTAAAAGAAATTCATGAAATTTATATAGCTGGGGATCCAAGAAAAATTCACTGTATCCGTGAATTCACTATATCCGTGTTTGTACTAAATGAGTTTTACTGTATTGGTCATTGGCAAAAATATCTAATCTAAATCTATCTGATTTTGAACTTACTTAACATTTGCTGACCATATTAGCACTCTCATTGACTTGAATAAGATAGGGTAGTGGTTTGTACTGAAAACTTTGTGTCACATGCCAGTTAATTAATGTTATACGAACAAGGAATATTGTAGATCTATAATTGTTATTTATTTTTTTTATTGTTATATATTCTTAACATTGACAGTATCTGGTTTGTCTGGTCCTGTCTATGCTGGTTCTCATTGGAGGGACTGTGTGGTGTTATGTATACAGACATGAGGTAATATTCAGACTGTAAATGACTTTTTATTTATGAGAAATCTATTTTCTCTGAATTACATGAGACTTTCTGCTCTTGAAAATTTCATTCTAGGGTGTATTTGTATTATTAAAGATTATACACAACAATTATAATAAAAATTCGTGAAAATTTTGCCTTGCTTATTAATACCAATAACTATCTCATGAAAATAATATGTCACGGAAAATTGATGATCTACTGTAGATTTATCTTTAAGGACATACGCAACGTACCTTACCTACTGATAATTTTTCAAGATATTCTTAATTTAAGATTATAGTACCATCAGATGTTCATAGACAAAAAATCAGCATGTATTACCAGGGGTTTTGAAAAGATATCAGTTGATGAAAATTCTTGTATAATTCAAAGAAAAATATACAAAAATTACTAAACATATATTCTAGATGTTTTGTTCATGCAAACTTGTTTTAGAAGAAGTGTACAACAGCAAATATAGACATTAAAATGTAGCACACAGTTCACTCAAGTATTGGAACTCTTCAACTCCAGGGAAAAAGACAATAAAGTTCAAATTACTTTGCGTATGTCCTTAATAAGCAAAAGAAGTGGAGTAACATTCAAGTTGACAATATGTAGATATAAAAGATAGTCAAACTGGTGATATTGCTTGACAAAATATGATTGTTTTGAACATTGAAATATTTAGTCATGATATCTTAATAATGCAGAAGAAGTATTTGTATTTTATATATATATGATTCAAAGCAACTTATATTGTTTGTTTAAGATTGAAATAAAGCTGAAGAATACCTTTGTGACGATTGTTCCAAATAACTATGGAAAAAACACAGTGGTGACTCGGGCCCTTGATTTTATGCAGAGTGAGGTATGAAAAACGAAACAAAAATGTGGAGCTGTAGTCGATTTCCCTAAGTTATACATGTGTGATGGTTTGGGCTGTGGATATCAGCCTGGGTAACTCTGTGGATAGAGCACCTGACTAGATGCAGGGGTCCCTGAATCTATTCTTAGTCCAGCCATACATTTTTTTCCTCTTCTGCTACATAATTTGGTGCCGATGACCACCCCTGGACTTGCAGGTGAAAGTCCTGCCAGGGGCAAATAAGAACTTGGGTTTTATCTTCCAGGGCAAAGACAATTTACTGAGAGAGGAGTTTGGGCAGTGGATATCAGCCTGGGTAGCTCAGTGGGTAGAGCATCTTACCAGTGATGCAGGGGTCCCAGGTTCAATTCACGGTCCAGCCATACATTTTCCAATTTCCTGTTACACATGTATTAGCCAGTGTTTCAATCTAACAGATCACCAAATTATAGTACATACTTTAATCCCCAAAGAATATCTAGCAAAATTCAAATTCTTCACCTGTGTATCTGTCAAGAATAATGAGAATTGATTGTCACTATATCTTAATAACTGTGCCATGGCCCCACATGGCCATATCTAAATGATTAATTTTTAATTAGTATCTTGGCCCAATATATCTAAATCATAGTATCATGATCCAATATACTTGTAAGACACTCCTTTTACTGAAAATTGCATCTCAGCATCTGTTCAAAACATTCTGAAATATGTCTGAGATAGACAAACAGCAGAGAAGAAACTTACCTGTATTGTATGCTATGCAAAACTTCTCTTGTTGATACTTTTTCATTGGTATTTATGTTTTATTTATGTATTACAGCTTCAGTGTTGTGGTGGACAAGGCTACACAGATTACAAGAACTCTGACTGGAGTAACAACCTTCAGATTAATGAGAACATAGGCTATACACAGGACAACATAGCTCCACTCAGCTGCTGTAATTACTATGACAGGAACAAAGAAACACAAGATACTGCTTATCAGACCTGTCCCATCTGCATGGATCAACTGTCTGGTCAAAATCCACTTGTCTGTAGTAATGTCAACCCTAAGATATGGAAAACAGTAAGTCCCATCAGACTCTTATCAAGCTCATTCAAGTGACTTGACTGTCTGTCATGTGTTGTTTGTTAGCTTTTTACATTGTCATCTTCAACTTTTAAGTATGACAATGAAGGTTTATGGCTTCTTACAAGAACGGAGGAAAAAAGTGATATTAAATAAACATACTGAAAAACTGAATCAAAAACTTGCGAAAAAGCAAAGAGTTTCCTTGGATGAAGGGGATTCAAATTTGTTCAAAACTTCAAATGAAGGGCTACACCTTCTTCTAGGGGAAGATAATTCTAAGAAATAGTGAAAATTTGGTGGGGTCATTTAATCTTCTTTTTAAGAACCACTGGACCAGAAAAGATGAAACTTAAGTGAAAGCTTCCCAACATAGTGTAGATTCAAGTTTATTCAAATCAAGACTTAGAATGGGGCCACAATGGACGATCAGTTTTACATAGGAATATATGGAGAAAAAAATTTAAAATCTTTATTTCAAGAACAGCAAAGGTATGATTAGTCATATTTGGGCCTTTCAAAATCTGCCCAGCTGAAATCATGATTTTACTAGCCAAAATATTTGTTGGAGAAAAATTCAATAACATACAATTAAAATTGCTTCCACAAGGTACCACCTATTTTTGTTAAAGTACCACCTGTTTCTTATCTTTTTGAAAGCCCTGCATGTGTATATGGAAGCATCCTCAGGTAGTATTGATTCAAGTTTGTTCAAATCAAGACCTCCAATGGTAAGGTGCAGCAACAATGTGTGATCAAAGTTTTACTTAGGAATGTACATGTATAGGAAAAATCTTAAAAAGTCTTCTACTGAAGAACAGCAAAGCAATTTTTAGCTCACCTGAGCTGAAAGCTCAAGTGAGCTTTTCTGATCACCAGTTGTCCTTCGTGCGTCCGTCTGTCTGTCCGTCTGTAAACTTTTCACATTTTCAACTTCTTCTCAAGAACCACTAGGCCAATTTTAACCAAACTTAGTACAAAGTATCCTTGGGTGAAAGGGAGTTTAAATTATAAAAATGAAGGCCAAGGGCCTCTTGTTTAGAGAACAATCTTGCTTTAAAGTTAGTTTAGAGATTTTTTTCTTGAAGGCAGCTTCCCCCCCCCCCCCCCCTCCCCAAACACACACATAAACGTTTTGTTCAATATAGTTGAACTCTTTCATTTGTTTATTGTATTTTTAAAAAAAAAGCCCAAAGGTTAAAGTTAAATCATAACCTCTATATCCTGTACATGTAGTTGAATATTGAATTTATTTCAGGAGTGAGGCAGGATGTTTGCATATTTTCACGGGTTCAAAGCACTTGTAAAAAATAATGAAATATTCTTTTTTTCACGTGTGAAATGAATTTCATATCCAACTACAAAAATTTTCTTTTTATTTATACGGTTTATTTGGTTTTTAGCTCACCTGAGCTGAAAGCTCAAGTGAGCTTTTCTGATCACCCATTGTCCGTCGTCCGTCCGTCCATCCGTCTGTCTGTCCGTCCGTCCATCTGTAAACTTTTCACATTTTCAACTTCTTCTCAAGAACCACTGGGCCAATTTTAACCAAACTTGGTACAAAGCATCCTTGGGTAAAGGGGAGTTTAAGTTATAAAAATGAAGGACCAAGCCCTCTTCCAAGGGGAGATAATCAAGAAAAGTCAAAAATAGGGTGGGGTCATTAAAAAATCTTCTTCTGAAGAACCACTGGGCAAGAAAAGCTGAAACATACGTGGAAACATCCTGGGGTAGTGTAGATTCTATATTGTTCAAATCATGACCCCCAGGGGTAGGGCGGGCCACAATAGGGAATCCAAGTTTTACATTGAAATATGTAGAAAAAATCTTTAAAAATCTTCTTCTCAAGAACCACTGGGCCAGAAAAGCTGAAACTTATGTGGAAGCATCCTGGGGTAGTGTAGTGTAGATTCTAAATTATACAAATCATGACCCCCAGGGGTAGGGCGGGGCCACAATAGGGAATCCAAGTTTTACATTGAAATATGTAGAAAAATATTTAAAAAATCTTCTTCTCAAGAACCACTGGGCCAGAAAAGCTGAAACTTATGTGAAAACTTCCTGAGGTAGTGTAGATTCTAGATTATTCAAATCATGACCCCCTTGGCTAGGGCGGGGCCACAAAAGGGAATCCAATTTTAACGTTGAAATATATAGGAAAACTTTAAAAATCTTTTTCTCAGGAACCATAGGGCCAGAAAAACCGAAACTTATATGAAAGCATCTTGAAGTAGTGTAGATTCTTAATTGCTCAAATCATGACCCCTGCATGGGGGTAGGGCGGGACAACAATATGTTTGTTTGTTTTTTTTTTTTGTTATGCAGTGGCATAGGCCGTGGAGAAATTATAGCTAAGGGGTATTGAAGTCACACGAGCAACTGAAAATTGTAAACATGGTTTTAAGCAAGAATTTAGGGATTCACTCTTGCTATCCATATGGATCATATTTTCTTTAATACACTTCTTGAAATGAAGAAGAGTTTTGCCCCAAATTTGTTATTTTAACTGTGAAAATAACACTTTTGTTATTTTCACTGAGAAAGTAACATGTTTGTAAAAATATCAATGGATAAATTGCAATATTTAATGATTGAAAATGTAGGAATTTATTTCAGTCTATTTTCTTTTTACTGTAGCCTTGCAATGAAGCAGTAGTCAAATTTTTCAAAGAAAATTTAGGGATTGCTGCAGGAGTGGCCATAGGTGTACTAGCTTGTCAGGTAATCTTATATTTTCTTTCCTCTGTCCAATATTTTTCTCATATGTTATTCAATCCATATAAAACATCCATGCTTGTTTACTGAAAATTACTCGAAACAGATGCCAATTGTGGGATAGTGGATACTTCATATATTGATAATTGTGAGGGCTATACATTTTGGATGTGATGATTCTCTTACTATTGAACATAATGCTGAACTTTTTAAGATTATTCAAACTTTTCTAAATGAATGTGGTCACTTTTCAAAAAAAAGCTTAATTTTTTCCCATTGTAAATCTATATTTGTACATTTAAAGATCTTATTTTCTTCCTATTACTACTATGTATGTGTAGTAGACCATATATATACATGTATTTTATTTTGGCAATTTTACAAAATGTTGTATTAGGAGAAGACTATCTAAGTTTTTGAACTTTTGTCTAGTCCTTTTGACTCTTTGTCAATAAAATATGTTCAATTCAATTCACATTTTGGATGTTCATGAACTGATTTGATTTAACAAACCATTAATTAAATAAGAAACATGGGCTTAAAGAGAAAAAGATGTTTTTGGAAGAAATGAATATGAATTTTTAACAAATTTAAACTTGTAAGAACAACTTATAAAGTTTTCACTTCATCTGAAGGTATTTTTATTTTTTCAAGACTTAATTTTTTCATGCAAGTATGATATCACTACACTTTATACTGTGGAATCTTCATTTACCTTGGGAGACCAATATTCATGGATTTCGTGGGTCATCCTTACCCACGAATTCTACATCCCCATGAACCTTGACTTTTTCAACATAGCAGCTCAAGAAATCTTATGTATATATATATTATCCATGAAATATCCCCACAAACCAGTAAAATTTTGATTGCTCATAAACATCCCCCCACCTTCCAAATTAAAATGATTCCACACTACTAATAAAGTACTGTAGTAATGAATGTTTTTGTGTTTATTTCCAGCTGTTTGGTATTATTTTGGCCTCTGTGTTGCTTCACCTATATAACAGCAGATACACACCATATGATGCAAATAACGATGATGTAGTTTATGAAATGGCCAGATGTCAAGAGAAATCCCCTTATCCAACACGAGGGACAGGACCCTATGCCAATCTGTACAATAACTAAATGAAGAACACTGCAATCATGTCATCATAACCAACAGTCATGTCATAAAAATCATCAGCACCGAACCAGCACATCACTTAGGCCAAACAAAAAAATATGTGTGGTTCCGGTTACACCTCCAAAAAAATTAGGGTAGGTAGGTAGGGATTTTTTTTTTTTTTTTCCCCACAAAATGATTTTCTTAATTTTCTAAATAATACCTATTACTGCTTTGCAAATGACATTTAGATGTAGTGTGATAATATACACTGTACTAGTCAATATTGGTAGGGGACACGGTCACACCTACGTGCTAGCTTGCTTTGGATTTAACACTATTAAACACTTGCACTATGTTGTGCAAGGAGGCCATCATTGCTAAAACTTAAAGCAGAGCCATTGATGGAAATCGGGGAAAATTTCCGGAAAAAATATGAAAATTGCCAAAAAAAAAAAGGTTAGGGTCGGGGGTATAAAATAGAGACGGTCGGGTAACCGGAACCACACATATTTTTTTATTTGGCCTTACATGTAAATGTGAAACCAGTGATCACACCATCTTCAATCTGGCTTCCATCTCAAATTGCTGCACCAGCTTTAAAGCTAGCATTCCTGAATGTGAGTCTTCATTTGGATGCATTTAATACAGTAGTTCAGATCAGCATTTATAGGTAATGAATCTATTAAATTATCTCACTGACAAATCTAAACACTTTTTTATGGAGAATTTAAAGAGTTATAGATGTAATGGCTGTACTTGATCATGTCAAAATTGATTGTCTTTGGAATTTTTCTGTCTCTCAAGGCTATTACAGGTAGTAATTTCTTGATAAAAACTTTATTGTATGTAATTGTTTTGTGTGATATCTCCTTGATAATTTGTACCTAGTCGTTGGAAGGTTTGATAAGAACATGACAGCTATTAATTGATGCACTACTATTTGTTATTTTTGTATTAAAAAGAAAATTTTAAATTCATTTCAATGCATGTAAACGTATGTTATATCTGACTCATTGATGAGTATAACTTGTTGGTGAGTCTCATGTTTGAGTGTTTATTTGTATTTTTATGTCTATCATGAATCTTTTTCTTAAGAAGGGATGTGCAATAAATGTTGTTTCACAGGTGCAACATACACTGTATATTTTTCTCAATAGGTACACTATTACCTATTGGTAGGTACTCCTAGGAAAAGTCAAAATGAACACTGTACTTGTGCTCAAAATATACATGTATTTAACATTTCTACAAAGTAAGAGTCAACTTCTTTTTACATTCATATACATGTAACAAACCTAATTTTACACAACAGGATAAACCATTAATTGTATGAAAAGATTTAGTAATATTCATAAATGTACATGTGTATCTTTGTTTTAGAAAACATTATGGAAACTTTCAAGAGACAAGTTTTTTTTTTTAAACCTGTCTTTACATGTGTTACTTATGTTGAACAAGATCTGAGCAGAGGTGGATTGGAATGTTTTAGATTTTGTACTAATCATTCACAGAATTCATGTATTGGACAGAAATGTATTGATAGATTCATGATCATTGATGACAAACTTTCATTTGTTGTAAATTTTCCAACTTTTACATGTTGTCTGTTAGAAATGTAAATATGATTCATTCATTAGGATCATTGACTATGCCCTGTAGAATAGTTTCTATTGTAGAATAGTTTCCATTTTCACATGTAACTTTGTAGTTAATGTGCTATTCCTTATTGTATATATTCTTGCTTATGCAATGTTCGTATTATTTTGATGTCATACTAGTGAGTCATATCAAAGCCACCAGCTAATATAGCCTCAGCATCCAGAAAATAAAAACCACATTTCGTTGACTTTTAATCTTTCTGTTAATTTGTGCATAATGATGTTTAGTTTGTAGAAGTAATATTAGTATGTTGCAGATATTTATATAGTGAAATGGGATTTGATTTTACAAAAGCCATATGTTATTGTGATATTTTTTCCAGTTCTATATAAAAGAAATGTAAACACATAACATAGGAAAAGGACTGGAATTAACTAGGTTTTTGTGTATTTTATTCTGCTACAAAAAGAACTTTCATTAGAATTATATATGATTTTATATATTTACTTTTATTAGAGTTAATATTTTAGCATACTAAATTTAGTGTTTTGTATTACAAACATAGAAGTAACAAAATAATTTACATGTATACTTGAAGTAAAATATTTTGGAATGATATTGTTTGAACTTGATAAATTTGTCAAAACAAAATTTTGAAATACAATGTATGGCACAATATTTTGGGACCACATTGATAAAGTGAGACCAACGTTTTCAGTTAGATGTAAAATAAACTTTATATTCTTGACATCTCTAATGTCTTTCAATTGTCAGTTGTTTCAAATATATGATTCTATTAAACATTTTTCTATACTTTTATGACCTTAACATTTGTTTTTAACATTGGCAGTTATTACCAATGGTTGCACTCGCAGAAGCAAAATTTACATGACTTTTAATTCGATTTTGTAGATTGTTTATTTACAGGTTGTCATTTTAATGATTTGATTTATTCAAGATGTTTTTCAGTATTTATGAATTATTCATTTTGCCCTGTGTATGTATAATCCATTGTATAGTCTAGTAGTGTTCCTAGTCTCAATGCCGTTGCTGTAAATCTACTCGGTTTTCCTGCTTTTTCCTAAACCATGGAATTCATGAAAAATGGTCATATATATCCCTGATCAAGTATAGTGAAATATTTCCTCTTCATTGTAGTTACATGTAGCAAAAGTCAGTCATTTTTAAGAATGGGAGGTGAGAGGGGCTTGAGAATTTTACAGAATTGTCTGAATTTTACATCATTTTGCAAAGTGTAGACAAATATGTTTTCATAATACAAAAACTTGGAAATGGAACATTAATGTTAAGTTACAGAGGTGTTTTGAATTAAAAGTAAATTTATTCACAATATTGAAAACTAGTGAAGTCCTCAATTTACATATAAACAAACATGTTTTAAAAGAGATGTGACTGGTCTGTAAATGTAGATTTACAGCAATACTGTTCTTATCTTTCTCTGTTCATTCTGTAATCAGTGAAAATCATCTCTCCACGTTAGCATTACTGTATTGAAAAGACATGGAGCATTTTAATATATCCATATTGTACTATATGTATATTATTGGTTGTATACAGCATAAAACAGGTTGTTTAGATTGATAATTTTTATAACTTGATTTTTTTTATTACAGTATATTAACTGTACCTGTCAAGCAAAGATATACATCTTTTTCAGTGGTGTTGTATTTTATAGTAACTTGTAATTTTTATTGTGACAATAAAAGTGTTAGACATAAATAAATGACTATGTGTTTTTGTTTACTGGTTGTAGAAGGAAGAGCTTATTTGATGGTGTAGTGTCCATTAGCCATCCTCTGTCTAGATATTCATCAGTAAACATTTTTTTTTAAAACTACTCTTCCTACAGCTTTTGCCACATCTGAGGTTTCCTTGTAGAAAAAAAAATATTTTAAAATAAAGATTTTGATGTTTCTGAAATATTATCTTTGGTATAACTTTTTTTTTGCTGACTAAACAAAATTTGGGGAGCTTATGTAATACTGTCAGCTTCCAAGGTTAAAGTTTTTGGAGCAGATTTGTTTTCAAGTACATCTATGCCCTACATTGATCAGAGGTGCATGGATGATGCTTCTAGTATGTTTCATTGTACCAGTCAGGTTTTGTCAAAACATGACCAAATTTATGTGTTTTGGAGCAGGTCTCATTTCCAAGTAACTTTTAGCCTTCTGTCGACCAAACTTGCAGGGATGATACATCTAAGGATGCACACTACCAGAATTACATGGGATGCTGGATCTTACATTTTCAGGATGAGTGACCAGGTGAAAGTTTTTAGAGCAGATTCATAATGACCAGGTTAAAGTATTTTGAGCATTCATTTTTTTTGTGTTGCCTGCAGAGCAGAGCTTCACTAAGGGATCACTTTACCCGGCATCTGTCTGTTTGTCCGTCTGTTACACCCTATATCTCAAGAACTGTAAGAGGTATGGATTTGATATTTTGCACATATATTGCTTGGCACTATGGCTTTTGTAAATTACCATGGTTACCGACCTCGTGACCTTTGACCTACTTTTCAAAATAGTTCTTAGTGCCAATATGCAGCATATTTTTGACATTTAAGAGGTTAGACTATGCTATTTAGCATGCATGTGCACTGACAATTGCAGTAAAGACAGACTGAATTCTCTTTTGGAGGATTGTTGGAAACACATATTAATAAAATGAAATTAATATAATTTCATTTTAATTATTCATTTGAGGGTTATGGAAATATTTTCTTTGATTGTCAGATTCTATCGCAGTCTTATACTATCCATGGATGTCATTTTTCCTTTGCAGGCAAATGCATGAACTCTATCATGCTTATAGTAAATAAAAAGCTGACAACTCTTGGATTTATTTACACCTTTAATGAAGCTACAAAGCAGATGTCACATGCGTTCCTTGGAACTTTCAAGTTAGTAACTATATGCCCTATGCTGACCAAACTTGCACTGATGATACATCTATTGATGCACAATACTGGACTTGCTTTGGATGCTGGACGTGACCTTTATTTTATGGATGAGTGACCAGGTTAAAAGTTTTGGAGCAGGTTCATTCCCAGTCTAACGTCAAGTCCTACCTGGACCAAACTTGCATGGATGATGCAAGGGATGCACACTTTTAGACTTGCTTTGGATGCTGGATTTGACCTACATTTTCCAGATGAGTGACAAGGTTAAAGTTTTTGGAGCAGGCTCATTCCAAAGTAACTTCAAGCCCTACATGGACCAAACTTGCATGGATTTTGGATCTAGAGATGTGCACAATCAAATTTACTTCTGATGTTGGATTTGTTCAATATTTTTTGGATAAGCGACCAGGGTTTTCAGAGTTTTTGGAGCAGATTTATTTTTGAGTAACTTTAAGCCCAGTTGCTGACCAAACTTACATTGATAATACATAACTGGACTTGCTTCAGATACTGCATGGATTTGACCTATAATTTTCTGGATGAGCTGTGAACCAGGTTAAAGTTTTTGGAGCAGGTTCATTCCAATGTAACTTCAAGCCCATAACCTAGACCAAACTTGCATGGATGATGCATCAAGGGATGCACACTTTTAGACTTGCTTCAGATGCTGGATTTGACCAACATTTTCCAGATTAGTGACCAAGTTAAAGGTTTTGGAGCAGGTTCATTCCAGTTTAATTTTAAGCCCTTCATAGAGCAAACTTGCATTGAAGATGGGTCAAGGGGATGCACACTAACAGACTTGCTTGGGATGCTAGATCTAACCTGCATTTTGTCTATGAGTGACCAGGGCCAGGTTTCACAAAACTATCGTAAGATTTGTCCTAAGATAGATTATTAAGATTATCTTAAGATCTGACTTATATGAATAGATATAATCATAAGATTTGTCGCTGCTGTTTCACAAAACTATCTCAAGGAGAAGAAATCTTAAGACAAATCTTAAGACAAATTTCATGATTCAATGTCACAAGAAAATTTTTAAAAATATGTTTGCACGAAGTTAAGTTGTCTTTCTTTCATTTTCTTTAAAATATTGAAATAATAGTGTGTCTCAAATAATTTCTTCTGCAGTTATACGCTCAGAAAAAAATATTGCATCAGCTTCAATGTACAAGCTTTAGGGTGGGGTTGGGGGTCAGACAAGCTAATTTGAATAAATTTCATTACAAAAAATTTATTGAATAAAATTTGCTAAAATGTCTTTATACTCGGAAAATAATATAGTTGGTGACAAAATGTATGTGATACTACTTTGATTAATTAAATCCGCTACTGCATTTATGCCTTTGCAAATAATGAATGGCTTTCCAATAAATTCAGTTGAAACGCCCGTGTTCAAAGCCCCCCTATAAAGGTGCATGTCTCTGAAACGTTGAACTACCTGCAACGAAATACCAGTGCCGAGAGACGAAGTAGAGTTTCCGATCAGCATTTTACAGTTTCAAATGCTATGAAGAAACAAGATGTGTTTGTGAAACACTGATGCCCCCGTATGGCAGCTTATGGCGAAGGTTAAAGTTTCTCAAATGCAAGTCAAAATCCAGGCCAAAAGATAAAAAATGTTGATACCCAAAGAAAGGTCTTGTCTCGAGGAATATACCTGTGAAATTTGAAAGACCTAGCTGCAACTGTTCAAAAGTTATGGCGAAGGTTAAAGTTTTTTAAATAAAAGTCAAACATCAAGGTCAAAGTGGTTGGTATCCAAAGGAAGATCTTGTCACAAGGATTACATATGTGAAGTGTGAAAGCCCTAGCACCAACCATTCAAAAGTTATGACCAAGGTTAAAGTTTTTCGAAAGTAGGTCAAACTCCTATGTCAAGGTCAAAGGGTCAAAGTGGTTGGTATCCAAAGGAAGGTGATGTCACAAGGATTACATATGTGAAGTATGAAAGCCCTAGCATCAACCATTGAAAAGTTATGGCCAAGGTTAAAGTTTTTCAAAAGTAGGTCAAACTCCTAGGTAAAGGTCAAAAGGTCAAAGTGGTTGGTATCCAAAAAAGGTCTTGTCACAAGGATTACATATGTGAAGTATGAAAGCCCTAGCATCTACCATTCAAAAGTTATGGCCAAGGTTAAAGTTTTTCAAAAGTAGGTCAAACTCTTAGGTCAAGGTCAAAGGGTCAAAGTGGTTGATATCCAGAGGAAGGTCTTGTCACAAGGAATACACATGTGAAGTTTGAAACCCCAAGCACCAACTGTTCAAAAGTTATGGCCAAGGTTAAAGTTTTTCAAAAGTAGGTCAAACTCCAAGGTCAAAAGGTCAAAGTTGTTGGTATCCAAAGAAAGGTCTTGTCACAAAGAATACACAAGTGAAGTTTGAAATCCCAAGCACCAACTATTCAGAAGTTATGGCCATGGTTAAAGTCTCATAAAATTTTGCAAAAGTGGGTCAAACTCCAAGGTCAAGGTCAAAAGTTCAAATATGATGGTACCCAAAGAAAGGTCTTGTCACAAGGAATACACATGTGAAATATGAAAGTCATAGCTCCAACCAATCAAAAGTTATGGGCAAGATTAAAGTTGACAACAGACAGACAGACAAATAGACAGACAGGACAAAAACAATATACCCCCGGGATCTTTCGATCCCGGGGCATAAAAAATGTAGCATCAGATGTTACAGCAGTAATTATATTGAGTTTTCAAACATATTCAGGCGGATTAATGAGGGGTACCTCAAGAACTAAAACTATTTGATTTCATCTTATTTTGTAAGACTGAAAGACATGTTTAGTTTCTTAAAAAAAAAATCACCACCGTGAATCTTACAAAATAAATTAACGTAAAACGTTTTAAAAATGCAATTGTGGCTACACTAAAGTTCGATTTTTAAAAATGGGCAGGACTTGTCCAAAACAAAAAAAATGCAGATATTTCGTATTTTTATTTATTCAAAATGCATGTATACGTACTAACTTAACATATCAATAAATCAACTAAATGTTTGTTGAATTGCGTTAGCCATTTTCAAAATTGCATATAAGTTAGCAATGCTTGGTCATAGAAAATATTATATTCTTTCTGGGTATTGAATTCAAAATAATAATTTTGAATGAAAATATAAAATATATGGATCTACATGTAACACTAATGTATACATGGCCGCAAAAAAGCAATTTCGGGGGGAGGGGCAATTTCAGTCGGGAGAGGGCACAGCCAAACAAAAATGCCATAAAGTAGAGCTCTACATTTTATGCTTTCTATCATATATAGTATTTGTTGGCAAAATTATTAGGTGGAGTGGGTGAATTTGGGGTGTATGTATATTTTTATGCAAACTTTTAGGATTAACTTTCAAAAAAATGGAGGGAAGACCCACTCTTGTTAAAGTAAGAGAAAATTGTCCCTTTGTCCTCTTTAGTGTGTTTATGGTATTCCATAGGCAAATAATTTCAGTTTTTTTTTTTTTTTTTTTTTTTTTTTTTTTTTTTTTTTTTGTTGTTTTTTTTGGTGAGATTTTTGTAAATTGTAGAGATTTTACATAAAATATACTTTAATGTTAGATGAAATATCAAAGAAAATTTTGATAAAATTGATAATTTATTTTTCACTTCATATCTGTCGCACTATAGGCGCTTCGCCCGCCTTGTTCACCCATCTTCTTTAATAATTTACACATATCAAATTCTCAAGAACCACCGGGCGAATTTTAACATGTTTGCACAAAGTAGCAAAGCTCCTTTCCTAAGTCAATTTTCTTATATATGACTCTCCTTACAAATTTACAAAGGAGTCATCATATTTTCGGGGGGAGGGGGATATAATGTTCCAGTCTAATTTTTTGGTTATTTCAAAGAAATCAAATAATCCTGAAAATCTTTGGGGTGGGTGTTCCTGACACCCCCCCCCCCATGCATAAATATACCCATGCAATTTCTTTCAGATTCATTTTCTGCTGTTATAATTGCTTGAATCTTATATATAGCAATAAAGAGAAGAAAACGTTATCAGCTAAGTCATTATGATGTGTCCTAAGGTCAGATATACATGTAATGGATAATTAATGCATCCCCCCCCCCTTCAGATTATATCTCCCCTTTCCCCACATTTCTCCTGTTTATATGACCTCTTATCTTCCAAAATATCCCTATTATAAATCAATCAAAGCAATGACGGATTTAATTGAGCAAAATTGAGATATATTTAAATTATATGTGTTTATTCATATTTCGGATAGCTATGAACGGATACGGTTTTAATTTTAGTGTCTGGAACTCTTTTATATTTGAAGATTAAAACGACTTCTTCGCGGGAATGTTGTGTAACATAAAAATTTCTCTTACGTTTGTTTGAGTAGACACAATATGCTGGCAACTAGAAGAAGCAAAAGGAACCGTGTGCCGTCAGATAGTGACGACCTACACCATCAAAAGAGAATCAAGGTAATAGTTTAACGTAAAACTCTGCAGAAACAGTGAATAAGCAGCTCATAAAATGATAGCTTCAATAAAAGACTAAAAGGATTACAGTTACGTAAAATTTCCCTAGTTTGTGTTACTAAGATTCCAGTTTAAAGCTTTAATGAAGATGGTCTAGACCTTATCATGCTTATATCTTTGTTGTTAATATTTAAGATTTCCTGTTTCGTTAGATACTTATTGGGCGACTGGTCCAGCACAGAGCACAATCTCTTTATTAATATTTAACAGTTTAACCCTTATTTAGCTATATACTGGTATCTCATAATATGGCGGTACTTATTTCTTTTGCATAAGAAATTTCAAATCCTCAGTGCACCAAAAGCACTAACCCAATTCCCGAACACTAGTAAAAAATTTGGTCCGGCTAGTAGAACGCAGATCAGCACAAGGCCTGATCAGACTAGTAGAATTTTCAGCTGTGTTAATCCATTTTCATCTCTGTATTATAAATAATTGTCAAAAAAATTCTGAAAAGATTTATCTTCTTGATTGAAAATTTTTGACTTTCTCAATGATATATTGTTATCTCTCTGTCCATGCTTTGTTTGGTTATTTTATAATTTGGTTATTTATAATTTGTCATTTCTGGTCACCATGTTTAAATGAATAATGAAAGAAAAAGTAGAGACCGAGACTATCACTGAAATCATGAAATGCTTTGAATTCAAACGCACCTGAGAGTTTCCAACAGTGGAAAGATTGGTGGGCAGCGGGCCATGCCTTGGTTAATTACGAATATATTGAGATAAAATGTTTATTATATAGTGCATCAGACTGCATTATTGTGTAAAAGAAATCAGTTTAAATTTGATTATACTGACAAAAAAATTAGAGGTGAAATCCTCCTTCATGATACGATACATATCATATAATTTTGTCTCAGTAGGGTTATGTTTGATACAATACATTTTGATAGAAGGAAACAAATTCAATGCTGTTTATGTATGTTTTGTTTCACTAAATCCACTCCAGTCACTTAATTTACGTGCAAATTGACTAGAAGAATTTGATTAGAATGAATTGACTGTTGAAGATTATTTTAACTATCAGTCCACAAAAATTACTTTTTTAAAAATTTAATTAACCCGAGTAGCTTGTTTTTACCTATGCCAAACCTGAATGAATAACGATCCCGACTGAAAAATGAATCTAAACGGAAATGAAGATTTTGCACCGTGTATCAAACAGAGAAAAATACCACGGTGAACTGTTTCACCCCCCAAAAATGACAAAATCGGGTGAATAGAAATTTAATTTTTGAAATTAAATCATGACTCTTCTTAATTAAATCTAAAGGAATGAAACAAAACTGTCATTTCATTTTTCACACTTTTAAGGAGGCTAGTAAAAAGTTATTTCGGCTAGTAAAATTTTGCCATTGCTAGCCCGATAAGGTTATAGTGCTGAAAAAAGTTTTTGGTGCACACTGAATGCTATTCATAAACCTAACAATGAGCTAACTTTTTAGTGGCAAATTATTTTCCAAGCTTGCTTCATTTAATTTGTTGTCTAATTTTTAAATAGGAAGTCTTATCTGTTGCTTTATATAGCCCCAAAACTTATAGAACTTTGAGTGCAAATCTCTGAAGGAGACAGGTTTTTGTGTGCTATTTTTTAGCTCACCTGAGCCGAAGGCTCAAGTGAGCTTTTCTGATCAAAATTTGTCCGTTGTCTGTCGTCGTAAATTTTTCACATTTTCATCTTCTTCTCCAGAACTACTGGGCCAAATTCAATCAAACTTGGCACAAAGTACGGTACACTTGGGTGAAGGGGTTTCAAGTTTGTTCAAATGAAGGGCCACACCCTCTTCAAAGGGGAGATAATTACGAAATAGCAAAAAATTAATGGCATTATTGAAAAATCTTCTTCTCAAGAACCAGTGGGCCAGGAAAGATGAAACTCATGTGGAATTATTGTCAGTTAGTGTAGATTCAAGTTTGTTCAAATCATGACCCCCGGGGATAGGTTGGGGCCACAATGGACGATCAAAGTTTTACATAGGAATATATAGGAAAAATCTTCAAAAATCTTCTTCTCAAGAACAGCAAAGCTATGATTGGTCATATTTATGTGGAAGCATCCTCAGGTGGTGTAGATTCAAGTTTGTTCAAATCATGACCCCCCCCCCCTCCCCCACTCCCTTTTTAGGGGTAGGTTGGGACCACTTATGCATTTAAGCTTTTCAATACTAAACTAATTTTTTCCTTTTTTCCTAGCCACAGTGCTCAGGTGAGCGATGTGGCCCTTGGGCCTCTTGTTACATGTGTGGCGTGGGCAGATTCAGTGGCCGGTAACCAGAGAGCTCGGTAGAGCACCTGACTAGTGATTCAGGGGTCTGGGGATCGAATCCCAATCTGGTCCAATCACATTTTTCTCCTCACTGGGTATGTTTGGTGCCGTGACCTTGCCCTGGGAGTGTCAGGTGAAAGACCTGCCAGGGGAGAGCTTGGGTTGTCTTTGGGGGTGGTGGGGGAGGGGGGGGGGGGGGTCAGACGACATGTTCTTCAATAATATAACTTTTTCCAAGAATTTGAAGAATTTGAAACATTGAAGTATTGCTACTTTTACAAGTTTCCTCACAGAAAATTAGGTACCTTTCAAGACATTTGTGAAAGATACCAGAGGATGATATTTAGTAATTTACTAAATAACCCTATTGGAAATCACTAGCATTGCAAATATAACACGTTTTGGTGCCTTTATCTTCGTAGACATTTTGAAAACAGTTTAAAAATCACAAGACAATGATAATTGTGATTAATTTGTTCTATATTACGAAGATAGACAAAACTGATATTCAACAAATGTGTCGTCAGACCTTAAGGAGGAAGAAATGTGGCTGTCAGGCAGATTCGATTGCCAGTGATCAGAGAGCAAAGTTGGTAGAGCCCCTGACTAGTGATTCAGAGGGCCCTGGTTCAAATCCATGTCTGGTCCATCACATCTCTCTCCTCACCAGTTACACATGAATTGTTTTCAGAACAGTTCAAAGTTGAAAACTATCACTGCACCAAAGTGCAACTTTTTGTACATGCTGAAAAAAATAACACATTAAAGAAAAAACTATAACATGCCTAAGTAATTCAAGCTATTTTGAATAGCTATAGCTATACAGTTAATTTAAGCTATATAGCTTAATCAAGAGATTGTGCCAGACCTTTTAAATCAGGGTTGTCCTTAAGAATTGAAACAGAATGGGGCATTTAAAAAGTAGAAGGGGATATCTGGTTCCTTCCCTAATGGGGAGTTTAGGAGGAATACCAAAATAATCAGGGAGTTACATCATTATAGGCAGGGAAATTTCTTATGGACAACCCTATATATGCTAAGGGTTGCAGTGAATGGTTACATTGTGTCTTGATGGAACACTAGTCTGAAAAATTCTAAATGTTGTAGATTCAGAATTGTATATCATTTAAAAAAAGGAAAATGATTTGATTTAGAAAAATAATAATTGCTCATTGATAATTATAATGATAGCAAAAAAAGGGGGAGGGGGTAAGTTAATACTAGGGATCAGATGTTAATAAAATCATCTAACCAATCTGTTTCTAACTTTCTATGCAGTTTTATTCATATAAGATTCACTTATTTGAAAAGATCTGTCAATGAAATCTCTTGATGCTTTAAAATTGATACCTTTTCACTTTGATTATGATCTAATACAATTTAAGGTATTGAGTAGGTAAAGATCTAGGGTCAGTTTGGTGACCATAGGATTAGAAGAATCTGTGTCTCGGGGAAAGTCTTCACCATAGTTAGAATTTGTCCCATATTGAAAGTTGCAATGTAGCGAAATGAAGCAGATCCTCTTCGGAATGATTTTGAAGAATGCAGAAGTGTATGTTACACTGAAAAATTAATAACAACCAAATAAATCATTACCAACCTTTGTGAGCTTGTTTCAATATGCTTTGTACCCCCCAAAAATAATCTATATAAAGACAAAAAACACATTTTCTCAACAATTTTATTTTTCTCACTTAAATTAATTATACTATGTGTTGAAATTCAGGGGCTCGTTTTACAAAAGAACTTACGACTAAGACCAAAATTTATTTATGCTGATAACTTTCTAATTTACATTAAATTGAAAAAGATTTTTATCTTTTTAAAAGTTGTGTGGAAAGATATTTTTACCCCAGTAATTTTAAACAGAATCATTAATTTTGTAAAAATTTTCAATTTGCTTAAGGTTTTGGTCTTTAGTCGTAAGTTCTTTTGTAAAACAGGCCCCTGAACTCTCTGAATTGCTTGTAGTATATACATAGATTTAAATTATCTATCCCTGTTTATTTTGCTACATCACCTATACACAAAACAAATTCTATCATTTAGCGGTCGGTAGGACAATATCATTTTAATGTTAGAATGTGCTATCTAGGTGATCAAAAACATAGTATTTGTTACACCTTGATACAGCACAATTCTGTTCTTGAAGCTTAAATGTTATCTCCAGTCAATGATTTTATGCCTTTGGTTGGTATTCATTTATTGTATGAAGCATGTCTATAACATGTGTAAACTGATTTTCAGTCATATATAGTAAATAAATATAAATTTTTCACATTTGCAGAATGGACTGACATCCATTAAGATGGAACAAAAGCAGCCACTGTCATCAGTACCACAAAATATACCTAGTATCCCAATTATTACTAAGCAGGAAATTTCGAAGGTCAAAGAGGAGGATATCTCCAGCAGTGAGGTAAGGACTCGGTATTATAAAGGAGAGAAGAGTAGAAAGAGGTGTGAACTTAGCAATTTAGTGTTAAAATCAGTGTAGTGTAGTTGATCAAGTTAATTCTAGTTACTATAGAATCCTCCAGGATAACGAATCTGTGGAGTAATTGACAGCAGAAATTTTACCAAATGCTGTAGATTCCTAAATATACATGAGGAATTTATTATGGCATAATTTCGCTAGAAGCAACACCAAAAAATTTTTTTACTTTTATTTTTTTTTATTGCTGAAAAACATATGTTAAGATTCTTCATTAAAAGATCCACATACAAATTCACATTCTCGCAATTTGACATCAGTGAGTGAATTCGCAATATTAAGACTTGTATAAAATACGGAATTTATCGTAAGGACAAATTGAACCAGAAATGAGCAGTTCAAGATCTAGTGATATAAAAAGAACAACTTTGGCCATCTGTAGAATTAGTCATCTTGTCATAGTGTCTTAGGCCAAAAAAAATAATAGTCTTGTTTCCTGCTACCAGCCTGAAAAAAATAGGGTAGGTAGGTAGGAAAATTATTTTATTTTTTATTTTTATTTTATTTTTTCCGACAGCGTTTTTTGGATATGAACAAATACAAGATAAAATTAAACATGTCAAAGGTAAATATTGTCTTTTAAAATTAAATTTCATGTCTTTTTATGCAAAACTCGAGTGGTATTTTATGAAAGTCCATATTTAAAACAAGAATTTCATGAAATGCTTGTTTTGTTTTAACACGAAAACCGATTACGGTGACAGAATGATGAAATTCCGGAAATTCCCAATCTTTTTTCTTCCAAAACTTAAAAAAAACTTTAGGGTCGGGTGCAAAAAAATAGGGTAGGTCGGGTAGCAGGAAACAAGACTATTATTTTTTTTGGCCTTAGAATTATATGCAGATTGAACTACTTTTTATCATGGCATCGAGCAGAGCTTGAGACATTGGGAATCCGAAGTGGTAATTTCAAAGTTTTTTTTGTTATGCTTGATTTAGGATGATGATGAGGAGGAATGGGATTTAGAGAAAAGAAGACAGAGAAACATTCAGGACAATGCAGAAATCTTCTCACGATTAGGATTTCAGGAGGTAATGCAGAGAGAAACTTGAAAATTTAAATTTGCTTAGGCTATTTTACCTTCTTTCAAAAATATTATTCTAGATCAATAAGTCAGGATTTAAGAAGTAAGCACAAGACAGCTGATATTCACAGACTGTTGATGACAAACTATAACAAGTCGTCCCCCCCCCCCCCCCCCCCCCCGAAAAAAAAAAGCAAGACTTGTGGTATACTTGCAAAATACTTAGTTGATGATATAAGATGCATAACACATATTAATAGGACTAATAGATTCAGGGGCTGACAAATCCCATTGCCCGACGCCCGGGGCTAGTGAATTTTAGGAGAGGGCAAGTGAAATTTTATCAACCACTTGCCCGTGGGCAAGTGACTTTTAAAAAATAAAATATTTAAGTCATAGATTTAATTTTGGGCACAGAGGATTGCATGTTCTACTCAGTATTTTTCTTGCTATTTTTTGAAATATATATATAAATACAGTATATTAGTTTATGATTGGGCAAGCAAAAATTCAGGTAGGGCAAGTGAATTTTCACCATACACTTGCCCTTAGACAAGTGCGTTGAAAATCTATTTGTCAGCCCTTGAGATTATGTCTGATTAATTAATACATTGTATATTAGAACCTCTATATATTATATTTAAACATGTATTTCACTAGCATAATGTTTAATAATAGAACATTTCTATTTTAGGCAAAAGTGGAGTTGAAGATGTCCTCTAAAAAATACAAGCCAAAACCTGCTACAAAGAGGTGTGTATATACATATATATATATATATATATATATATATATATATATATATATATATATATATATATATATATATATATATATATATATATAATGACTTTGTTGTAACCTTAATCTTATATAATAACCTGAATCTTGTACTTCGAGAAATATACAATTCATTGTCAGTTATTGAAATATTTTAGAAAATGCTATCCTGTACTCTATATGTTAATTTGGTAAACAATTTTTTGTTTCTGGTACCAGTTTTGTTGGTTTAGACGAGTTTCACATTTAGAGAAGTTCCACTGTATACATTTCTGTATTGAGTTACCCATCATCACCTCACAAATTCTAAAGAACAAAAGAAAAATTGAAATTTAAAGGATAATATAGTTTTGTACCTTGTATGTAAAAGATGTCAGTAATCTGTAAGTTAGATGTTCAGGCTAAATATTAACCTGTAAGAATTCAAAAATAAAACAAGCACTATAACACTGTTCAGGATGAAGGTTCCTAAACCAGTATTACCCAGTAGGAGGAGCCAGAGGTTACAGCGAATTGACCCTGATGGTCAACCTCTTCCAGAACTTCCTGTTGTCGAAACTCCAGTGTTTGAACATGTATGAACAATTTTATGATTGTGTTAATATTAAAAGAGAAACTTTAAGAAATTTAATGATAGAGTTAAGGTTTTGTTTTCATAAAACTTTTTTTTTTTGAAAATATGTTGAATTTAATATACTTGAAATATAAATTTTACACTCATCTGTTTATTATGCTTCATGTATTTTTGTTAGGCCAGAAAACCCTCCGGCCCTTTGTCTATGGTGGATGCCTTGTTTACAGGTAACCCAGTGGAGGATCATCACCTGCTTCTGTCTCGTCTTGATGACATGAAGGTGAAGGTCAGCTTTAAAAAAGAGGATAACTCCTCCTTAACAAGGTTTGTTTGTTACAATTTTACATATCAGAATGGATTTCTGAGACATAAAAATAAAAGAATTTAATTTTAAATTATAAAACATTTGCCAGGTGTAAATTTATGCATATTATTTTGATTATTTGTTTCCTTGACCATTTTGTAAATTATTGTAAATATCAAAGATATGTTAAAAATAAATTGTCATGCACAAATTGGTAAAACGTAGAAACACACTCATATCTTTAAATGTTTTGAATGCAATCACTGCACCTCAGAGTTGTGTACAAACATTTGTACTGGATAATAGCTGCTGTAAATAAGATCTCTTTGTGAATCCCTTACAGAAAACATCCCTCTGAAAGCAACAAAGTTAGTATCACATTTATCCTTACAGTTTTGTCAAAGATTTAAACAAACTGAGGTTGCATGGAGACAGAGTTTCCAAAGTTGTGCCAGACAGAATCTTCTCCCTTGCCATACATCCTGTAGAAAATCGCACACTAGTGATGGCAGGGGACAAATGGGGAAAGCTGGGATTTTGGGATGTGGTAGGCAATCCAGTATGAACTACAGTCATTATAGAAATATTGCTAAGGAATTGAAAACTCTCTTTTGCTGTGTTGGAATAAGATGATACTTTTCCAATTTTCATCCACTGTTTTCATAAATGACATTTGAATTTTGTTGACAAACGTTTATATCTGAATTAGGTGCGAGATAAATCGGACGAAACAGATGGTATAGTTGTGTACCACCCTCATTCACGACCAATCAACGATCTTCGAGTCTCTCCTTACAATCATCAACAAATCATCTCAGCCAGCTATGATGGAACTTCTCGATGCTGCGATCTACAGAAGGCTGTGTTTGATGAGGTAGGGCTTAAATTGAGTTGTATTTATTTTAAAAATGCAGAATGAAGAAAAAAAAATTTTTTCATAGAAGTTGTCTTTTTAAACAATATTGTTTTTTTTTTGTAGAATCATAAATTTTATGTGATCTTTACCAAATTTCTGATTCTTTATTTACAGGTTTATGTCACAGATGAAGATGATGATAATCTGTTGAAGAATTTTGACTTTGTTTCTGCAGACACTCTCGTTTATTCCCAGCAGGATGGCACAGTTGCTTTTGTGGACAGAAGAACCCCTGGGTAAGACTTGTTTGTCATAGATATTCCTGTATAAGAAAAAAAGATTATGCAGATACATGTATTTAAGAAACTTTATACTGTATAAAGTTTAATCTGTATATGTGTAATTGTTTCCAATTGAATCCATAAAAAAAAACATTCACTGTCCTATTTAAATGTCCATCATTGATGAAATGTGAAGCTTACTTTGTACAAAACAATCATGATTACATATGAATACAGACAGAAAAGATTTGTTCGTTTTAAAGAGTGTATTTTATGCTACAGGACAAATGCAGAGAATGTATACTCCCTTCATCCCAAGTCGTTACGTACTGTCTCTGTTCATCCACTGAAGAGCCATGTCATCCTCACAGGCAGCACTGATTGGTCAGTTGATGGCAGTTTTAATCACTCTGTTTTTAAGTGTCAGATCAACCAAGAACTTCTGTCTGTTACATTCTATCCAGTACTATATCTATGGATTAAAAAATCAAAAACTTAACATCTGTCTTTCATTGATTCACAGTTTTTAATAACAACCAAAAATTTGGTGTTGCATAAAACTATAATCTTGCATTATGCTTGAGAGTCGAATTGCGTGGTACAAGTAACTGTTACTATGGAGAGCTTTTTGGAAAACATCAGGAGTTAATATTCTTTATAACATCACAGTACAGCAAAGGTTTGGGACATGAGGAATCTGAAGACGGGGGGTAAGTCCAATAAATGGCTGGATGAGATTGGTCACAGTAAGAATGTTTACAGTGCTTACTTCTCACCGATCAGCGGAAAGTATATCCTGACCACATCACTTGACGGTACTCTCAAGTAAGTGAACACGCTCAGAAGTCAAAATCTGTGACTAAGTTTAAGGTTTTGAAAATTCTGAACGTGACTTAATATTCATTTGATAAATTATAATATCTCTAGAAACAAAAGTTAAGCTTATCATTAAAGTATCTGTGTATACAAATATTTGATGATTATTAGTGGTCTCTTTACTAACTACAGCTTGAGTATCTGGTATTTCAGTGTATATAACTGTACTGGAATAATAAAACTAGTATGAATGCGAGTGTGATAGTAAAGTGTAACAAATTTTTATGTTTATAAAAATGTATAACAAAACAACTTTTGTTAATGGAAATTGTAAATTATCCAGAGGTGGTCAAGAATCCTGTACAATTTCAGATAGGCAGTCTCTCCTAGAAATGTTATGAAATATGTAGGCAAGTGCTTGCCTGATCTTTAATCTTCATTTGAAATTTTTTCTTTAACATCATTGAACATAAATTTTCAGTGTGGTGGAATGTACAGAATCTGGAAAACTGGGAAAGAGAAAAGTTATCAGGTATTTGAATTATTATGAATAGCTCTGCTGGCCAGAGCATAGAAAAACATACATGATAAAGTGTCTGTCATCCCTCCAACTGTTTGTCTTCCTATCTGTAAACATTTTTTATTAAAATGCTACTCCTCTATTGGTTTTGGTTCAATTTCAATAAAACTTGCCACACAAAGAAACATAACCAAGGATCATTATTCTATTTATTGCTGTTGCCATAGTTTCAAGTCCAAGTTCTACTTTTCCTTTGTTAAAAGTACAAACCAGTAAAGCAACAGTCTCATAAGAGACTTAAAGTTTTTGTTATAAATAGTAAAATCTGCTGAATAGTATTTTTGATAGACACCTAGAGGAAGGATGCCAAAATGTATGTGCTGATTTTTTGTGACTGATTTAAACGTCGTAAAACTTACAAGTTAAGGTGATATGTTAAGATTCATGTCACAAGAAATAGACTTGTAGCTATTCCAGTATAGATCAACTTTGATTGGAAAGCTGCTTTTTTGCAGAAAGTAAATTGTTCTAAGGTATCTTTGGTTTACTCTTAAACTAGATATGTAAAGGCATTTATTCTGTAATTATATGAACAGCTTAAGGTATTTCAAACTTAATTCAATATCTTTAAAATAACAAAATAAAAAAAAACAACACTTTTTTTTTAAATTCTGATTTTTGTATGAATGTTGCTTGATTGTTAGAAATAAAATAAGAAATGCTTCTGTAGTCAGTGTTCCCTCAGCAATAGGAAAGATCACTCTTCATTTACTCCTATTATCAAAAGAATCTGAAATGATGCAAAAAAATTCAGACCATTGGCTATTAAAAATTTAACAAGCCAGTAAAAGGATAGCATACATGTAACCTGCTTTCTCTTTATTGCCATTGCAGTTGTGAATTCTTAAATGTTATGAGTAGTTAGTCATTACTATAAGAATTCTGTGTATTTGTATTGATTTATGTGTGTAGATAAACTTCAAAGTGTAATATTTCTTTGATTATGATTTTAGACACAATAACCATGTGGGTAGATGGCTGACTCCATTTCGAGCATCATGGCATCCCTCACGTGAGGATGTGTTTGTGGTGGGAAGTATGGAAAGACCTAGACAGGTAAATAGACACAGTACCACTAGACATATACTTACTAGGGTAGATACAGTACCACTAGACATGTACTAACTAAAGTAGACACAGACCACTAGACATGTACTAACTAAAGTAGACATTGTCACTAGACATGTACTGACTAAATTAGACACAGTGTCACTAGACATGTCCCAACTAAAGTAGACACAGTGCCAATAGACATATACTAACTAAAGTAGACACTACCACTAGACATGTTTTAACTAAAGTAGACACAGTACTATTAGACCTGTACTAACTAAGTAGGCACAGTACCAATAGACATGTACTAACTAAAGTAGACACAGTACCACTAGTCCTGTACTAACTAAAGTAGACACAGTACCACTAGACATGTACTAACTAAAGAAGACACAGTGCCACTAGACATGTACTAACTAAAGTAGACACAGTGTCACTAGACATGTACTTACTAAGGAAGACACAGTGCCACTAGACATGTACTAACTAAAGTAGACACAGTGTCACTAGACATGTACAGACCCTGAAACGTGCTACTACCCCAAAAAAGCGTGTGACTTTCGTGCGCTTTTCGTTTCGTGCAAACCGTGTAGCGTTTCGTGTAAACCGTGCAGCGTTTCGTGCAAACCGTGTAGCGTTTCGTGTAAACCGTGCAGCGTTTCGTGTAAGCTCCAAAGCGTTTCGTGCAAACCGTGTAGCGAGCATGCAAGAAGCGTGTGAGAAACGTGCGACTTTCGTGTAAGAACCGTGTGAGAAACGTGCGACTTTCGTGCAAGAATCGTGTGAGAAACGTGTAGGATTCATTCGGAAGTCATTTTATTTTAAATATGGCTATCGATGGGTCAACATGTCATTCTGTGCTGTTTGTAATTAATATTATTTCGGATATATCATACTGGTGGTATTTTAAATTAGAAAAAAAATTACGGAAACAACAAAATAAAATCACTCGGTAATGTATTACATATTCGTTTGATTTTCTTTCTTTTTTATTTCAATAAAGATGGACAGAAAATATGTTCAAAGTAATTAATTATATGCACATCAATTTTAAGGTATTTGATTCAATACGTTTTTTTAAAGGGAGCAATACTGAACATTTTGTTAAAAGAAAATCCATCAGGAATCCGGTCTTGTCCTTTTCATTCATTTATTTGAATCTCTTCACCATTTTACAATTATGATATATAGAGATTACAAGAACACATGAGTGATTAATACAAAATAATAGATAGATAAGGCAGGCGTGAAAAATACAAAAATTAGTACGTTGATATAAATGTGAAGTATGGGAATTCCAGACGGGGAAGCAAAATTATTTTTTTTTCTTTATAAACGAACATAAGAATGAAAGATTGTGAAACAAATAATTTTGAAACAATTAGCCATTCATAGTCTTCTTATGCATAAATTGGTAGGTTAATAACTGTCATATAAATGAAGTATAATTCACATGCATCGGCAAATAGAGGGTTAAATATTTCCGGGGGGGGGGGGGGGGGTCAAACAAAAACACAAACTTTGAGTTTTTGTTGTTAACAAATTTTTATAGATAGTTTTATTTTTAAAGAAAATTATTGCTTTCTTCGGGGTGCGCCCGATGCACCCCTTAAAAATACATTGGAATCTTCTTTACACTTCCAACAATCTTCTTACTACTGTGATCAAGGTCATTTATAACAACGATCATGGGCTTCGCGTGCCGGGAACTGAAAATTTGTTCTGCTGCATGTATTATCTCTTGTCGATCATGGCTAAGATGACACCCGACAATAACATTAACGACTGATTTTTAATTCGTGAAATCAAATGGTTTTATTAGTATTTAATGGGTACAAATAAACACGTGGATTTTATTTCTTAAATATCCAATTTTCTGTAAACAGTGAATTAATATGCCAGTGTATTCGTGAATTAAAAAATATAAAGAAATAAACCCTGAATAATTATATTTTAGTCGTATTATTAACCACGCAGTTCTAGAGCATATTTTTTTGTTTTTTTGGTTTTAAGACATTGTACATGTATACATGTATATTGGATGTATGGTTAAGAACCGCGACTATTGATTACAATCATTACATCTTTTTGTCTATAGCTAGATGGGTTTGAAATCAAGGATTTCACAAGGGTGTTTTTTTTTTGTTTTTATTTGCTAAACACAATGCCTCAAAAGAGAACTAAAGAATTACAATACCTATCCTCCGGCTTCTCTACCATATTAAATTTTAATGATAAATCAAAGTTTAATTCTGTAATAAAATGATATATTTACCATTCTGAATAAAGTGCATTTAATGAATTACACGTATCTGGTCCCGCTGGAGATATGGCTATCCTTTTTTTTTTAGAACGGGCATTTGTTTCTATAATAATTTTTTCCCAGTAGTATACTTATTGAAACAAGTGCCCGTTATATTTAGGCATGTACAGAAGTAAGATCTCGGTAATCTACCTCTCCCCCCCCCTCCTTGCACAATGTTCGTGTTTGATGCAGTATACATATTACCTTTGCAAATTATCAACAGAACCTAATTTAATCAAATGAAATTATTTATTTACTAAATCGAACAATGAATAAATCAATCAATAATTTTAAAATAAAGAAATGAAAAGAAAATCAATCCGTTTACAGAAATCAAGAAATTTAATCAATATTTTTTTTTTTTTCAAATCAATAACTGAGTTTATTTGTCAGTAATAAAACGACTTTTTAATATCAAAATATAATTGTAAGAACATTGAATGCTGTAAATGAATTACAAATATAATTATTTTTTTCTGTGCGTAATTTAGAGTCTAGTGAAAAAGGTTTGTACATAGACGATAATAGGCATTTCATCGGGCTGGTCACATACTCAGTGACAATTATTAAGTAATTACAACTGAATATTGAGTATTTTATCTGTTAATGTAGTACTGGTGTAGCGAGTTTTAATATTAATTTAATCTGAATGATTGCAATTCTTAACTAATCTTTGATTTATCCGTAATAATTTAAATAAAGTCCGAGAGATTCCGAATAGAAAATCCAGATCGAGGTGAAAGCGTGCGAGAATCGTGTACAAAGCGTGTGAGAAACGTGTACAAAGCGTTTCGTGCAGGCTTTCGTGTGAACCGTGCAGCCTTTCGTGCAAAGCGTTTCGTGTAAACCGTGTAGCGTTTCGTGCAAACCGTGTAGCGTTTCGTGTAAACCGTGCAGCATTTCGTGCAAACCGTGTAGCGAGCGTGTACCGTTCGTGCAGCGTGCGTGTGGGGTAGTAGCACGTTTCAGGGTCTGTACTAACTAAGGAAGACACAGTACCACTAGACATGTACTAACTAAAGTAAACACAGTGTCACTAGACATGTACTAACTAAATTAAACATAGACTTTGTCAGTATCATTAAACAAAATGACAAACAAAATGGCTTTTCCCATTAAGATAGGTAAGCCTGATTAAATACCACTATACAGGTAGGGACTGCAGACTATATTTAACATGACATGAGAATAATATTAATAATACCATTGACTTTATACCACTAGACAGGTGAACACTGACTACATATCATCGACTAGTTACCACTTAACATATGAATACTGACTACATACTATTGATTAGTTACCACTTGACATGTGGACATTGACTACATATCACTAGACAGGTACTCATTGACTTAATACATTGTATATGTATTTGGAAATAGAATTTACTTTCCAAATCTGATTAGACATTTCCTGCTGATCTTATACCACTGACTAAATGATAAACAGTTAATTAATGACAGGCTACCACTATTCATTTGAGTATTGACGTGTATGAAGTTCATGATAATAAAAGTTAGGAAATCCAAACATTATACTAGGTGGTTTATATTTGATATTTATGTGTGACTGACTGGAAATAAGTCTCCAAAATAACATCCAATTATGTATAAAGTAATCGATAGTAATGGAAAAAGTAATTATAATTACATTGAAAATTTTAGCTGTTATTGATTAAATTACGATTACAAGTAATCTAAAATCTCTTCAATTACAGATTACTGTCGATTACTTGAAAAAAAGTAATCATTACAATCGATTACGATTACTTGATAACGACTACCCCATCCCTGGTATGAACAACATATATATATTAACACCAAACTTTTCAATTCATAGTTTTTAAGAGTAACTTGAGAGAACTTTACCCATTAACAATTGATGCCTAAAACTACAAGTGATATACAAATAAATAAAGCTAATGATAGTTATTATGGAAAATGTCACTAAATTTTCATAAATTTTGTAGATACAAGTATACGACAGTGAGGGTAAGATCCTCCGTAACCTAACAGACCCAGATAGTTTGGGATCAGTCTGTTCCCTCAATGCATTCCACCCAACAAGAAATGTGTTAGTGGGAGGGAACTCAAGCGGCAGATTGCATGTGTTCATGTAGAAAGGATCCAGCAACAAATATTGCAGAAAAGTGAATTCATTTTAAAGTAAAAGAGGGTGAAATTAAGCAGTTTGTGGACAGGAAACTTGTCCAGATGATTGAACTGCTGTAGTCTGGGCAAGAAAGCCAAAGGATTTTCTGTAAACTGGATACAGTATTAGATATCTATAAAGAAAGCTTTGTTGTAGATATTCCAAAGAGAACTAAGAAAAAACTAATTCTGTGTAGGACACTGTCAGGCTGAAATGAATGTGACTTGTTTTTCTGTTCCCAAACAGATTTGAAAATTTGTACAACTAGATGTATCCTTTTTTTTTTAAATTCATTTAAAAACATATGATTTTAAAGTTATCTTAAGAACCAAAATGTTTTACTGCTGCAGAACATTTTACTGTTTTACACCAGTACATGTAATATCTATTTTACACATTTATTGGTTTAAGAAAGAAAGGGAACAAAGAATTATATAAAAATAAACAAACAGATTTGTATTTTGTATCCATTTTACTGTGTATAGTGTGTAATTTTGTGTTAACCTTATTGGACTACATTCATATATGATTGTTGATATTCATGTTGTAATTGGTTTAATTTTTTAGCTCACCTGAGCCAAAGGTTTAAGTAAGTTTTTCTAATCGAAGGGTGTCCGGCGTCTGTCAAGTGTTGTCTGTAAACTTTTCACAGTTTTGACTTCTTTTCCAGAACCACTACTCCAATTTCAATCAAACTTGCCAAAACATCTTTGGGCAAATGAAGGGCCACACCCCTTCAAGGGGAGATAATTAAGAGTTAGTGAAAATATAATGGCATCTTTTAAAAATTTTCTTCTCAAGAACCACTGGGCCAGAAAAAAAGAAACTCATTTGAAAGCTTCATTTTATAGTGTAGATTCAAGTTTGTTGAAATCATGACCATCTGGGGTAGGGTTGTGCCACAATGGGTGATCAAAGTCTTACATATGATTACGTAGAAATATTCCTTAAATATTGTCTCAGCCATGATTAGTTATATTGATATGAAAGCATTCTCCGGTAGCACAGATTCAAGTTTGATCAAATAATGACCCCCCAGGGGTAGGATGGGGCCACAACAAGATCAAACTTTTACATGGGAATATACAGTTGAACTTCAGTATCTCGAACACTGATATCTCGAATACCATGGATATATTGAAGTGATTTGGAAGTCCCAACCACTTATTCTTTAATTTTACTCCTGATATCTCAAATTCTCAGATATCTGGAAGTTTTTTCTTGGTCCCATCGAGTTCGAGATAATGGGGTTTGACTATATATATATATATATATATATATATATATATATATATATATATATATAGTCAAACCTTGTTATCTCGATAGGACCTAGTCAAATGCACAGGTGAGCGATGTGACCCATGTGCCTCTTGTGTTTATGATGCATTAGTTGGGAATAGTTGTTTTCAAGTAGTTGTGTCAGGTATTTTACATTACATTGTAACTCTGACAAATAATCATTTCTGGTTTTCCTCTGTGTTCAAAAGTAGAATGTGTTCAAAGCCAGATTGGGTTTATTTTCAAATTGTGTTTATTCTTAACTGTGAGATTATCTTTCAAGATTGCAATTGTTTTGCTTGGTTTGAATGAGCACTGGAATTTTTTTATGTTTTGTGGAACTAAACCAAAAATGTCAACGAGTTAATATATTAATATATATTAATATAAGTCCAATCTGTAGTAATTCCAGTAATAAAACAAAATGCCATGTTTGTTGTTATTTTTTTTGGTTTTGTTTTTGCTCACCTCAACAAAGTCGAGATGAGCTTATGCTATACCCCCGGCGTCGGTGTTAGCGTCGGCTTTCGGTTAAAGTTTTAGGAGCAGGTCCATTTCCAAGTAACTATAAGCCCTGCCTGGACCAAACTTGCATGGATGATGCATCTAGGGATGGACATTACCACACTTGCTTCGGATACTGGATCTGACCTAGATTTTCCAGATGAGTGACCAGGTTAAAAGTTTTTGGAGCAGGTCCATTACAAAGTAACTATAAGCGAGACCAAACTTTCATGGATGATGCATCTAGAGATGTACACTAACCAACCTGCTTCGGATGCTGAATCCGACCTAGATTTTTCTACATGAGTGAATTTTGGCCATATTTTAATATAATTAGCATGGGTGATGGATCTAGGGATGGATACTTCCATACTTTGGATTCTGAATCTGACCTACATTTTCCAGATGAGTGACCAGGGTAATTCTTTTGGAGTAGCTATTTAATATTATGGCCTGTTATGATTAAAGTTGCATGGTGCATCTAAGATTAAAAACTTCCAGACTTGCTTTGGATATTGGAACTGAGCACAATTTTCTTGATTACTGAACAGGGTAAAAGTTTTTTGAGCAGGTATATTTCCAAGTAACTATAAGTCCTACTTAAACCAAACTTGCATGGATATTGATCTTGGGATGTACACAAACTAGAAAAAAAAAATATGATCTGAAATTTGCCTTACTTATAGATAACATTCGTTGAGGGGAGCTTCGTAATCTTTGATTACCTATGTTTTTATTTATTTGTTTGTTTTTGTTGACTTTGATTCAAAGGAAAATCTTTCCACCTAAAATAATGAAGAGTTGTGTCAATACAATGCTGGCTGTGTCGCTAATCTAGAATTTGACTCGTACATTTTGTCAAGATCCTGAATAATCCCATTGAGAGATGCAGACGCCATTTATAATGCTTGTTTTCTTATGTCAACACCAGCAAAGCTCAACTGTGATGGAGTAATGATCAGTGGTTGCAGGAAACATATTACATGTCAGGTTTCCTTGTTCAATTCTGTGTATTGAAGCATAAAAATTCTGAAAATTTTGGCCTCAGACATTGTAGTATAAAATTAAAAACACACTAACATAAACTTGGGAGATTTCAACTTTGCTCAAATTATTTTGAATTTTTGTACAGAAAATACATTTTGTAAAATTTAACAATAAATTTTATATTTGTAAAACTACATGTAAAGCAAAATTGAATAAGAATCCAAGAGACTTCTTATTTGATTTTGTTTACGTAGGGAGATAGGCATTGCAATGCTTTGTTTAATATACTAGCAAATCTCTCAAAAAAAGAAAGCCAACTTTCTTAGTAAGGAGATGACCTACTTTTAACAGAACTGAGAAGCCCTCTAAATGTGTCAGTGTCTAGGACTGTATAACTAGTGTGAAATGGAATGTCACCTGTCATTTTCGTCAGGGGAAGCTTAAGGTGACAAGATACGAGCCCTGAAATAACCAACAAACCCATACTAGTGAAATATGTGAATTGCCATTGGAATAAAAATTGTATCTTCTAGATTAGTGTTTTCAGTTTAGTTGGTTTTGTTCTAAACTTTACATTCCATTAAAATTTTCTGGATTTTTTCAGTTCTATGTAATAGCAGATTGTTTCTTTAGATTCTAAAGCAGATATTTAAATGGTAGATTTTTATGTTGAAGTGGAAACTTATAAATACTTCAATTTTTTGCTTATTCTGTAGACTGATATAAGTTAGGACTTGCAGGTTATGTTTAAGTCTTGTAGGATTCTGATGGAATAATTTGAATGAAATATGACTGTCTACCAAATTGCAAGCTATAAAAATTCTGAGTTTTAGGAATCAATTTAGGCTGAACTTTTAATACATTTGATAAGAATTTAGAACATTGTCCTTATCAAAAGTGATTTGATTCTGTCAGTTTTTTTCCACAGCGTTATGAATTATATGGACATAAATTTAGCATATGTGAAGGGAAAAATTATCTTGCAATTCAGTGATTGGCTTATTATTATTATTACACATTCTAAAAAATTAAATCGAATTGCAAGCCTCTGTTTATGCATAGAAAAAAATGTTGGGGCCAGTACGTGATACATACATTCTATGGATGCATTCTAGGAGTGCTTAATATTTAGTCAAACATACTAAACATGTATATAAATTATTGGCGTAGTTGATGGATTTTGTTATCAGAATCTTTATGATTCATATCATCAAGCCATGACATCTTTCTGAATTTTGGTCAGATAAATCAATTGTAGATAGCTGGCACTACGCAAAGTAAATTCATTTTTAGAGAACACTCTATCAATCACAATACGATCGTGTTAGGAACCGGTCCTGGTTCTTGAGTTTCCTCCCCTGAGAACAGATTAATGCGTTTTCTTTCTCTTTTCTTAATTAGATTTGGTCATCTTTTCGATCATTATATTCAAATATTCTATGCAAATATGCCTCCCACAATCGGAAGTAAATACTGATTTATTTACTGGTATGATCTGACTGGCATTCTTTATTAAAGGAAGTTCTTTTTATTGTTTCTTCATAAGAACAACAGTTTTCTCCTATTTAAGTATTGTGGACCGTTTTAGACTCGCAGATAAAGCTGTACGATAGGAAAGACAGATGAAGACATGACAGGTGTCTGAAAAAGTATTTCTTGAGTTCGTGATAATCGTGGAAGTATGGATTTTCTGTATGTGTACGAAAAACATCGAACAATGGCCTTATAATTATGTGACCCAAATAATAAGTAACGATTCCCCACTTACGAAAACCTTGTAAAAAGACTATTCCTCAAAGATTAAGTACTCCACAGGGAACTGCATATTTATGAGGGTGACGTTTTGACATTGTTCATCAAAGAACTACGAACGCTAACTCTCGATTCCCACCTACATTTTAAACCCATTTAATTCAATATAAAAGGCAATTTGGCTATTAAAACTTATTTGAATGCAGAGAAGAGTTCATTAATAGTTAATTAATAATTTTAAAAACAGTGTCAAAAAGTTAATTGCTCTTATTTACAGGTTTTTTTTATAAGTGGGGGTAGTATATTTTTTCCAATGAAGTAAGGCTTTTTAACATCACCAGATTTTCAAATATTCATGAAAATGGATAAATGACAGTTAAATCTTTCGACGTGTTTTACTTATGTAAAATTTCAACATATATTTTTAATAAAGTACATTTTTGTATTTGTAATCTCATTTGAAATTGATAAAGGAATGACCACTTGTGCTGTTTTTTGTCTGTAAACATATATGTACCCCAACCCCCAACCCCACCCCACCCCCGTGAAACAATAAAAGATTTGGTATGAATTTGTGAAATAACAATTTATAACCTGTAAAAAGTAATTTTTATTTCAGGGGGAAAAGATGTTTTGAAAATAATTTCCATTTTCCGTTGATTTCTGTAGTGAAAAACATAAGTTTTACCAAAATTATAGAGTATCTCCTGTGCTAGACAATATGAAACTTATGTGAAGCATCCTCAGGTAGTGTAGTGTTAAATTTGTTCAAATCATGACCTCTGGGGGTAGGGTGGGGCCACAGTGGGCGATCAAAGTTTTTCATAGGAATACATAGGGAAAATCTTTAAAAATCTTCTTCTCAAGAACAGCAAAGTCATGATTGGTCATATTTATTAATTTGAAAGCATCTTCAGATAGTGTAAATTCAAATTTGTTCAAATCATGATCCCCGGGGGTAGGGTGGGGCCACAGTGGGCAATCAAAGTTTTACATAGGAATGCATAGGGGGAATCTTTAAAAATCTTCTTCTCAAGAACAGCAAAGTCATGATTGGTCATAACAATATAAAAGCATCGTCAGGTATTTTAGATTCAAGTTTGTTTAAATCATACTTCCCAGGAGTAAAGAGGAGCCATAACAGGGGATCATAGTTATACAAAGGAATATAAAGGATATATCAATAAAAATTTCCTCTTAAGAACAACAAAGCCATTATTAGTAATATTAATTCAAAAACATCTTTCGGTGTTTTTGTATGAACCAATGGTTTTATGCCAAAACTGGGAATCTGAAGACTGCACATATGACATATGTTTAATATCCCTGAGGATTATCCGAGGGGCACCGAATGAACTCTTGAGTCTGTGTCCCTTATGGACCCAAGAGAGTTTACTAGTAATCTTACTGGACAGAGCTTCTTTACCGAAACTTGGGAAAATCTGAACTGCAAATCTTCTAATGTTGTCTACGAAATAGTACGTAATCTTTCTGGACTTGTTCATCTTGGTGAAACCAAGGGTTCACTTAAAAAAAAGAATACCAGGACACAGATTCAGATTCACAATGAGGGTCAGCAGCTTCTATACAAGCATTTTAATTTACCTGATCATTCTATTTTGTCAGTGAAAGTTAGAATTCTAGAAAAGATTTACTATCATACAAACAGTCCATCACTGAGTACACCTTACCGTAGACAACGAGAAGAATATTAGGTTAG